GTGTGAAGAGGAAATGAAACAGTATGGGTTAACATGGATGCTGGTGAAAAGTACATCAGAAGACAGAAGCAAGTGGAGACGTGCAGTTGAAGCCCTATGTTCCACTAGGAACCCAAGGGAACAATAATAATAATACTGCCAGATACGATTAAATACCAAAAAAATCTTATCCTTCTGCATAATGATGAATCTTTCTCGGTTTCAAAGCCGACTGCTTATTAACACAAATATGACAGTTAAAATAAACAAAAGAGATGTTTGCTTAAGTTCACGTATCCATAAAGGATGTTCCATGTACCAGGGTTAAGAGCTACACTTATCGTCTGGCAGCCAATGATACTATCCAACTGCTCAGGTTGAAGAAGGCGGAACAAGGCTTGAGGTCCTGACCAACTGCCCTCAAAACTGAGTGTTTAAGCCAATGGGACACATCTGTCTGCCAGCAGCAATTGAAATGATAAGATGTCTAGTACTAACTAAGTACTGAGAGATATAGATACCGATGAGTCTGTAAGGAGGTCATTTAAATGAAAGAAAGCACAATAAAAAGTAGCTATCAACTTTGTCTTGTATCCAAATTTAAAAAAAAAAAACACACCGGAGAACAGTATCAGACTCAGAATTCAAATGATTGATTTGCCTGTTTGAATTGAATAAAATTAAAATTAGACTAAGTTGTATAAAATTAGTTAAAGTTTATGAAGGAAACAAACAGAAAATATTTAGAACTCCATGTCTCAATATGCCATTCAAACTAATACACTTGAAGACTGTGTCTAGAGTACTTCAGAGAACTGCATCACAATTCAAGTTATCAGACTGTCAATTAATACGCAACTATAAAAACATAAATAGAATGATGCTGAAATAAAAGAAAGGAGATACTATGAGTGAGGTTCAGTAGAAAATTTTTCGATGTTTTCGTTGGCAAAGCCTGCATACATCTTCTTCGGACATGTTCAATATTGATTATTTTTCTAACAGTCAAGTCACCGAATCTCGCCTTCATAGACTAAATAACCAGCCAGTTACAGCCTAGTGTTGATGTAGTTTGGTCTGGCGTACCTTAGCTTCGTTTCAGTGAAATCTTACTGAAGGCAGGTATACTGGTTACTTTGAATGATTGGTAAACACATATTAAATACCATCAGCTGAGTTAGTTGATTAAGATTTATAATTTCATCGAATCACTCATATTTCTACGCAGAACTAAATGTTTAACCTCAACCAATAATAAAGAAGACACTTATGAACAATATCAGAGTAACCTCAAGATAAGTAACAAGTGAAGATAACAAGCTGGACAGGGGGACGTATACAAGTAGTCACTTCTTATTAGTAGATGAAGTTAGGGCAATAAAAGTTTTGGAGAGTACGCGTTGAATTTAATGATGAGGAGATTCCGCTTACTTCTCAATGCTTTGACATTTCAGTGCAGTTAGCAAAGAATATGATGTATTTATTATTTGTAAAATAAACTGGCCATCCTTGTAATTTCTTTACTTAAATGAGACGAATTATAATATTTTAACGGGATAATTAATCTGAAAATTTCCTCCATGAATAATCTATTTCCACTAATTGTGTCATTATTAGCCTTTTCCCCTGACCTGTATATCATAGTTCTAACATTTGTATATCACTTTTTGCCTTAATCCTTATTATTTTATCCTTTTTTACGACTGATCCCTACTGTGTTGTTTTAAGATTACGATTTTGTTCGAGAGGATTTAAGGTGCTTTGTTCTATTTGATTCTTGCAGACAAGATTTTGATCCCTTCTAATTGAGAATATTTTTATTGATTCCTGGGTAATTTAATATTCTGATTGGTCAGTTAATTTTATATTTTGTACTGTATAGCTGCCGAACAGCGTTGTTGAGCTATTTTGTATTTTTTAATATAATTTTGTCAATAACAATAATTCTTTAATTATTATGGTTATATAACTGTAAAGCCTTATGGAGAAGTTATCGAAAAGCATAACCTTTGATTGGACACTAGTTAGTAACTAGTGTAAATTGTCTAGTCCTTTGTTTGGTGCAGACTGAATACTATCAGTCAAGTTTGCAATGTGGCCACCATTCTAGGTGGCTTGTAATCACTATGCACTGCACTGTGAATTGTTGATATTCGAAGGCTTCCTGCCGATTGCCTCCACTCATCTAATATCACGATTATTCTTTGTTCAGTAATCAGTTTCATGAAATTTCTCATGAGCATCTTTAATCATTTCTTGATATAAGTCATTATTGTTGAATAATAACACAGATTCTGTCACGCCATAGTGTGTGTTTTTGTTATTGCTGTGATATAATTTTGAACTGTTTGGCAAGGTAATATGAAAGGATGCATAGATTGATTTTCTGCGTTCAGAGAGAAATAAATACTTGGTTTTTTTCCTTTTAAGTATTAGGGCAAAGTGTGAAATCGGTTGAATTCACGGTTCTTCATTTTGAAATTGAGTTGTTTAGTTTAAAATTAGGTATTAACAACTGTCTGTCTGTATTCGACATAGAACTTTTCACCGATGTGCAGCAGTTCAAGTCGCCACACTACATGTAGCACACAAAGCAAGAGAAGAAAGTAGGAGAAATGCATAATATAGACAGTAAACAAAGGTGTGAAACAAAGGAATAGTAATAACAAAGAACAATATAGTTTCATTGGAAATCATAAGTCACAAGAAGTGGATGCATTTGGGCCACTGAGAACGATTTGGAGCCATATCACCAACTGATTCCAACCACTGGTTTTTACCGTCCCGAGGACCCCAACCAGGAAGTCTACACCTTCCTACGTGGCTTAAACTAACTGTAGTCGTACTAACAACTATGAAACATTAGCAGCGAGTGATGCCTTTATTGTCAGAATAGAGGAAGGAGCATTTTAACCTTGAACTTTGACTTATTCCCGGCCTCGGTATATTTTTCAACCTCTTTAGTCAAATTCTAGCTTTTCTAACCAAACTGGCATAAACCAATCTCATTTAATCCAACTTCCAACACTAAGTCCAATATATTCATCCATTCCTTTCATACTACTATTATCTGACCCAATGAATTAGAGTATCTTTATATGTTGCCTTTGTATATTGTCATAGCTAATTACGTAAAGTATCTTTCAACAGAGTTCAAATTAGTCAAATTTCGCTAACTGTCACTTGTGGCCATAACAAGCACTAGAATTAAGTGTTCCATAGGAAATTATTTTTCACTCGTAAGATATATAGCGTTAATTTTATATCATATAAATTTGTTCAAAATGAAATTATACTTCACTTTTTTGGTTAAAAAAATTTTTCAACTACAATAAAAAAGATGTAACAGCAAATAAAATTTTCTTCTCAACAAATCCTTTCCAAGGTCTGTACGGTCGTATTTATCTCCAACAGGAAAATCCATAAAACCGATCAAATACTGATGATTATGCTTTGATTGGACTCTAGTAACTAGTGTGATATGTCTATTCCTTTGTTTGGTGCAGACTGAATTCTATCAGTCAGATTTGCAATGCGGCCACCATTCTAGGTAGCTCGCCATCACAGTGCACTTTGAACTGGTGATATTAGGTAGTTGGAGGCAATCAGCAGGAAGTCATCGACCTAGGTTTTGTGCTAATTGGCACTCAACAGTCAGCAAGGCGTATCTGCAACCTTGAAGGAACTCATGTCCCTTCTGAGATTCGAACCTGCGTCACCCAGTGCTGTAGTCAGAGACATTATTACTGAGCTATTCAGGCTCGCGATTGACCTCCTGTAGGACTGTATTGGATACTTTGATTGGACACTAGTAACTAGTGTGATGTATCTGGTGATGTAACTGATAGAATTCAGTCTGCACCAAACAAAAGACTAGACACATCCAATAAAGTCCTACAGGAGATCAATCACGAGTCTGAATAGCTCAATGGTAACGTCTCTGACTGCAGCTCTGGGTGACACAGGTTCGAATCTCAGAAGGGACGTGAGTTCCTTCAAGATTTCAGATACGCCTTGCTGACTAGTGAGTGCCAACTAGCACGAAACCTAAGTCGAAGACTTCCTGCCGATCGCCTCAAACCATCTGATATCAACTGATGATTATGATATGTCAACTCACTGTTAGATAGATAGACATAACTGTTTAGATTATGCGCTATTTTTGTATGGATTTAGATTAATTTCAATAAAGATTTCGTCACGAACTAACAATAGCTATGAAATCACTGAAAACTTATTTTTGGCCTCCTCGTCAGCTCACATCCACGACCCTCCAGGGGATCGAACCTGAGACCTTCAGGTTCCAACTCCAAGCTCGTTGAACATTCAGTCAGTCAGTGGGGGGGGGATTCAGTGGTGCGTGAACTTTAATTTCTGTCAATTCGCCATATAATGTTACTCTCAACTAACGCCATCGATTAGTATCAGCTTCAGCCTGACAGTGATGTATCCCATTGGTGATGACTTCTTAGTACAACTTCAGTTGTTCATTCCCCACTAGATTATCTCTTACATAACTTAAAACATTTCCTAGAACATAATTACCAATATGTGATTACTTTTATGAATTATTCGATTAGCATTTTAACAGCCTTTATCGAAAAGAAAATTTTCCTTGCTATTACATCTTCTCTCTCATATAACTCAATATGAGAATTTCTCAATTCATTAAAGAAATACTCTAAGCTTTACTTTCTTTAAGTTATTCTACTTAACACTCAAAATTTGTTTGTCAAAGGAGAAAAAAAGTGTTTACAATCATAAATGTCAGTTAACTAGTAAAATATTTTGTTCTAAAGCGAAATGAGTAATTATGTCACTATCGAAAAACAAACAGAAAAGGGAAACAAGTAAACAAACAATATCAAGCCGAAATTATAAATTCAAGAGAGGGAGAAAGACAGAGTGAGAGAGCGACAAGGAGATGAGAAACTCAGTAAACTTAGTAAGCAAGCATACTGAATAGTAATCAGTCATATATTTCTAGAGAGAGAGAGAAACGAAAAACAGTGAGTACTTACCGTGATTGATTTTTACAGAAGATGGGAATAAATGCCGCATTGGATCATCATCATCATCATCATGGTCATCACCATCATTATCTTTGGATTTGGAGAATACTTGTTTACTGAGAAGTTTCACTCTTGAAATCAAACGCTTCAGTGTAGATACAGTGATCTTGATTTGATGTAAAAATGATACTTGTCTATCGTAGATTGGTTTAACAGCTGGCAGAAGACGATTTTGTAACCAGTTGATTAATGGTGTCGCGTGGAGTGAATTAGCAATGTCCAATGGAGTCTATAAAAGTTTAGAAATAATGTATTAATTAGACAAGAATACGAGTTGAGAAAATACAGGTAGAAAGGAGAACGTGTGGCACGGATAAAGATGTTAAAGCCAAGATCAGATAGGCAAGACAGACTCTCATTAATCTGAAATCAATGTAGAAATGTGCTGCATTAAGTATGAAAAACGCTCAGTGCGTCCATCTGGTTCAGAGACATGGAGTGTCACAAAAAGTATTTGAAACAGCCCATTGTAAACTTTTATCAACAACTACCTTCACTGGTTCGACAATGAAGATCAGATGGCCAGGAAAATAAGCAGCAAGGGACTCTGGGAACGAATCAACCATGAATCAATTGCCCAAAAAATATACGGAAAGAAATGTAGGTGGATTGGTCACACTCTAAGGACACCGTTGACTAACATTGCGCATTAGGCTGTCGAGTGGAACTCCAGTGGGAAACGATGGCTAGGGCGTGGATCCAAGGGTGATATCAAGGAGATATTGTGAGGGGCAGATGAGAGCTTATGGACAATCGTGGAGCCAGGTAAAGAAGATTGAAGGAAACAGGATGAAATGGAAATGTTCTGTTAAAGACCTGTGTTCCAATAGGAACCTAAGCGAATAATAATAATTATAGAAAGACGAACGCAGTTCTGCAGTATATTATTATTTCTGGTCACGCAGCTCCAGTAAAGAATTAATTTAGCGGCATATATATGTAGTACGATAAGAATGTTAAAAAAGATTTCTCTTATGTTTTCTTCATGCAAGCGATCCTGTTTTTTATTTATTCCTTTACGTTCCCAGTGGAACATAGGGCTTCAAGCTAGAGGCTTGACTTTTCGGTAGCAGTGGTGTATTTATTTTTACGGGATTGAGTTGCTAGCCTCATGACCAACCTTCCCTCCTTACCAGTCTTATTACTGGCTTAGCGAGGTGTGGGAGTGCGTCGGCCGGGGATCGAACCCCGAACTACATGCGTGGTTGGCGAACATTCTACCGCTGTGCCACCAACGCACGCGATCCCGTAGCAATCCATAAGGGAAAACTTGAATTTTATGTTCAGAAGTATTTAATCCAGCCTCTTTTACTACCATGACTATAGTACCAATTTTATTTACCTGACTTGTTATATCATAAACTCATGATAGTCATTTTGACCTTTTTCTAACTTCTCTTCAATTCTTTGTTCTCTTGTCTTCTGTCAGTTACTGCCGAGCGAATATTCCTCACTTAACTGATTAGTTGTCAGCTCACTCGATTATGTAAGATTATTCATTATTTTTAACACATTGGTTATTTTCAAGTATTGGTTTTGTAGGGATTTTGTTTGATTGGATGGAGGATTTCATCATGAGCTGACATCAGTTAGAGAACCACTGGAAGATGGATGCAGCAGTAACTCATCGAAGAAGACATTGCGAAATGGTCACGCTATGTCGTGAATTGGCAGATGCTGGAATTCATGGGCTGGCCATTGGATCGGGTCCCAGTGGCTTAATGGTCTACGAGCTCGCTAGCCTTGTAACCAGAAGGTCCTGGGTTGGAACCCTGGCGGTGGATGCGTACTGCTGAAGAGTCCCAAACATTGGTTATTCTTATACGCACTTTGACTTGTTTTTTCCTAACTGATAATAACCGCTGACCTTTGTTGTCATTTAGCATTGTACATATTTAAGCCCTTAAAATAACTGTACAGCTTTGAAGAGAAGTTTCGAAAAGAGATTTCTTTACCGACTTATGTGATTTTAATTACATCAAATAGGGGAATTTTTCATCCACTGAAAAAAACAGACATTTGTTTTTAGATAGAGTTCAAAGAAAAATCGTGTTTGTTGTTAGAAGCTTTAAAAACAACAGATGATATGGTACTGAATAACTGAATTTTGGACAGTTATTAAAAAAAACCTTTTTGATTAAAGTATTAAGTCAAGAGGTAAACAAATTAAGCAAATACTTCATTCATCTGCTGAAGATGCAAAAGTCGTAATAAGCATACAGAGAGAGAGAGAGGTTAGGAAAACAAAGAATTGAAGTACTCAAAGATAGCAAAAACTGAATAGAGAATGATGGGATGAATCACTTATAGGAGAAGAAAAAGAGAGAATTGACTGAGTCTACACTAATCCATTTCCAAATAATAATAATAAGTCCATATGATTCATTCTAGCTGATAGTAGTTTCATGAAATTCTCTTCTATCAACTCTTGTAAAATACAAATATTTTACAAACAAAATAACTTTTAGGGTTCGCGGTGGCTTAATGTGCAAAGCAAACAACACGATCATACCGTTTAGTATACATTTTAATTACTTAGAATCACGCTTCTTCATATATATCATTTGGAGATACCAGTGTTTTTAAAACATTCTTTTGGTGTAACCATATACTTAGTGTAATATCAATAATCATAATCAATTCGGTCCTTGATGAGTGATAATGTCTACACAAGCTATCTTGGTGAATATGGGACACATGTTGTATCAGTTTTACATGTGATACATTGAAATAAAATGGGAAGGATATCTGTAGCCTGAGAGCCTAGGAATATATTTAGTGAGGAAGGACTACCTAGTCTACCACTTATAAGTCTACATTATTTATTTGGTGATTTTACAGAGAAAGGTTGACTTTTGTTGATTAATTTGGTATTCGAAAAAGTGTGCTCTGTCTGTTTCTTTTTGATTGTGAAGTTAAGAAAATTAAATGAATGATGCTCCATTTTTCTACTATTTTTTTGACAATAATTGTTCTCTCACTTACTGCCTGCTTTTTTCTCGTCTCCTTTTTCTACAAAGTAATCGACCACTGAGTAGATTATTATTATTCCCTTGGATTCGGAGTGGAACATCGGACTTCAACTATACATCTACACTTTATCCTATTTTCTGCCATCCTATTTAGCTGGGTCCACGATTGATCACAGTCCCACATCTCGTCCTCACCACACTATCTCTGCCATGTCACCCTCACACCGACGACCCACCAGTCGCTTCCCTTTCTTATTCCACTTGAGCGATGGCCTGCATTGTGTGTGATGTTATTCAACAGTCTCCGCAGTGTGTGCTTAATCCATCTATATTTCCCACAACATATTTGTTAAACAAAAGGTTCTCGGTTAGCTTGTGGCCAGCCAGAGCTTCTTGTTGCTAATCCTTTCTGGCTGGCCACCCGGCTATTTGATCTTCAATACTGAACCAGCTAACGCAGCTGTTGAAAAAAGTCTGCAACCTATAGGAAATGTTTTCCGTGACACGCAGTGCCAGTTTCTGACTCGTATAGAACGACCAACCTGACATTGGTGTTGAAAATCCGAATCTTGTTCTTTATCCTGATTGAGTGCAGAAGATTTCCAAACTGTTTTCAGGTTGACGAAGGCGTATCTTGCCTTTCCGATTCTCGCTGGCTGGCTTTGACATCTTCATCCGTTCCTCCAGCAGTTAAAGCAATGCTGGCTGCCTAGATAATTGAAGGAGGTAACGTCTGTTAAGTGATCACCTGGAGTACTGTCTTCGCTGCCAGCTTCTTCTGCCATTTTGTGGGTTTTCGCCTGCCTGCAAGTCTTCGAATTTGTGTGACACAAGGCATATATATAGTTTATTACTGGAAACTGTTGAGAAAAATGAACTGCACAACTAATGTGATAAAATGTTCTCCTATTATGGTATACATCACCCCAAATTCTTTTCAGACTTTGATAATATGGAAAACCTTTTGGTTAATGTGTTAGAAGTAGATCACGAGGAAGCTCTGGTTCAAGGTTTCTTGCTTATCAGAACTCTTCAGCTTAGACTATCAGTGAATATAAAATGTTCATGCTTCTTACAGTGTTCGAAAACTACACTAATAGTGTAGAGTTCATTTTCTAATAATATTAACGTGTTATGTGATATTAACGCTAGAGTATAAAATAATTAGTACAGATGAAAGATGGGTCTCAAACTAGGGTGAAACAGCTCTCTAGTACTCTCTAGTTTTCAGTGGTTCTCTAACGGAAGTCAAATTTGCTTCGAACAAAGATCTCGTTTATCATTTAAGAGTTTGTAACAGAAGATAGCTAGAAAAAATGTTCAAAAGGGAGTAGGATAAGAGTCGAAAACCAAGCAGGATAAGTATACACAACCATAAGTATTTAGACAAATCTTATGAATTATGGTTAATTTAGTTAGTCGACTTAAAAGTAATCTAATCAATAAAGGATAAGAACGAACAAGATAAAAAAACAGATTATATATTTCTCTGAAAATCTTTTTTCGATTTCCCCTTCCAACATTACCAATATTCATTTTGAAAAAAACAAGAAGGAAATATGGCTAGTAAGTTTTCAATGGCTGATAAACGCATAACTAAAATTAGTAATTCTAATAGTAATGGTAATAATTACCACGACTACATCACTATGGTAACACAGTGATATACATTTCTCCTCTCCTCTCCTCTTTTTCTTTTTTTTTCCCATTACTCTTTGCCTATTCCAATCCAGCATTGATAAGTATTCCCTCTTATCCTCGTTTACGTCACAAAAAAAGTATTTGAGAAAATGGTAATAGCCTTACTTTATATATAAAACGGAATATAGTACAGCATAGGCAGATGATAAAATGAAACTTAGATAGATAAGAAAACAAACAGAAAAGTGAAACCATTGGTTGTCAGGTTGTATTACAACTTAGAAATAGTAACTTATTATATATATATATAATATCAGACTTTTCCACATAGAGACTAAGATATAAGGTATATAACTTTATCATTACTTTCATTATATATGTAACACTCAGTAATCATTCTGTAATTTAGATATTATCACTTTACAATTTTAAATCTTAAACTACATAGTCTCCAAGTCGATATGTTAATCACCATCGACGCCACCTAGATGACCTTGACGCCATTTTCCACACTAAGATTATATTTCATTTATAGACTTTTAGATTACAAGAGTAAAATTCTGAAGTATAGTCATTATTTATTCATAAAAATGGTTTAACTTAAAATGAAGTCAAGGTGTAAGGTAGGCAAATAACACTTAATCAGTAATGTTTAATAAGACTAGCTGTAAGATGAGTGCTACTCCACAAGTTAAACCATAATTCATGATTGGGACTTGTTTAGTCATTTGTATTTGTGATATACTGGTCATTGACAGTATTCAAATGAAAATTTTACAAAAGTTCAAACACATTAAAGTGATTAAATTATTATGAAAATATTTCAATCTAATATTATTATTATTTATTCCTTGAGTTCTACTCAGAACTCAAGGCTTCAGCATTATATTTATATTCCACTCACTATTCTGCGATACATTTCCACTCACTCTATGACTGCTTATAATTTTTCACTTTCTTTTCACATAATCTCCTTCATGTCACTCACAAACGCCCAAACTGTTGTTTAACACTCGACAATCTGGCGTGTGTTGTGTGACGTCGTCTGAAAGTCTCCTCAAAGTATGTCGAATCCATCTCCATTTCCTTCAGTATATATTTATAGGGTAATACATCCTTGCTTGACTCCTGTCAAAGTTTCTTGTTGCTTATCTTCTCTGATCAGTCAGTCATCTGATCTTCTCATATCGAGAAGGTAGATGTTGGTAACATTTTGTGATAGTTAACAAGGTTTCACAAGGTTATAAACTTTAATTCATATGTTCTCATGGTAACGGTTGCCTAGGGAAACTAAACTACTACAAGGTTTTATCGATGTCTAAATGTTATTACAACATATAAGACACATAAAGTACACTACAACTCAACTATATATACATATATATTGATTATACTTCAACTGAGATAAGTAAATGGGAAAAAGTTTTATAATTTGCAAGAAATAGTTAATAATGATTTGATAAAAAAACAGAAAACAAACAAACATAAAAACTTGCCGCAAGCAAAAACTCCAAATCATGATTGTACATAGTTTCTGTCAACAGGACTTCTTTGAATATATCCAGACATCCTGAAGCGATTGTCAACAACTGAAATATTAAAACAAGTTGTGGAAAAAAAAAAAACAAACCATTTGTTTTTTTTTTGGAATGTTATAATCAGTAGTAAGGTGAATTTCAACAGCAGAAAAAAATATCGAAAAAAAACAAAATTTATAAAAAAACAATAGCAACGATGTTTGCTTGAAAAAAATAGGTTAAAACCTTTATAATGTGTCGTAAACAGTTGAAAGTAAGAGAAGTGTTAAAGCATAAAGAATAATTTTCAAAAGTTGGTTTGTAAGGATTAGATTTGTTTCTACGAGTTGATCACGGATTGATATCAGTTGAAGAACGATTGAAAACCAGAGCGTACTGAACAGCTGTTTCATCCTAGTTTGAGGATAATCGGTAGTACGCACCCACTGGGGTTCGAACCCAGGACTGCTGATGATTCCCAAACTAGGATGAAACAGCTGTCCAGTACACCATGGTTTTCAATGGTTCTCTAACTGATATCAATCCGTGACCAACTCGTAAAAATAAAGAATAATTGAAAACTGCTTTATCCTCCTACTTAAGCATACTTTCATAACTCTATGCAGAATCAAGGCCATACTTATCAGGAATCATGAGTAACATTTACAATTAAACTTCACGTTTGTTATCTAATTAGCTGCGGCGCAATTCATCCAAACCACATTTACATTCAAACCTCTACCTCAACTTTATAGACTTTGAGAAGGCCTTCGACAGCGCTGACAGCGAAGTAATTTGGAAACTACTCGAGTACTACGGCGTACCCCAAATATTCATCAACCTTATTCAACAGCTGTACGACAACGGCACATGTCAAGTGATCCACAACGGAAAACTCAGCGAGGCGTTTGGAGTAAACACAGGAGTCAGACAAGGGTGCTTATTATCACCAATGATATTCCTAATTGTGGTGGACTGGATTATGCGTCAGACAGTGGGAAACGAGAAGACAGGGATATCCTGGACCGACGTGAAGAACCTAGAAGACCTGGATTTCGCGCGTGGATGATTTATGTTTGATGTCACACAAAATCGAAGACTTACAAGCGAAAACCGACAAACTGGTCGAAGAAGCAGCAAAGACAGGACTCCAGGTGAACATAGACAAGACGGAGGTTATGAAAATAACCAACCAACAACAACAACAACAACAGCAACATCCAGCGCCAATCACCATCAACGGGAGGGATTTGAAAGAGGTTACTTCTTTCACTTATCTAGGGAGCATTGTCTCAACTACAGGAGGAACGGACGAGGATGTCAAATCGAGAATCGGGAAGGCGAGAAACACATTCATCAACCTGAAACCAATCTGGAAATCTTCGTCACTCAGCATCAACAACAAAATTCGGATTTTCAATACAAACGTCAAGTCAGTTCTTCTATACGGATCAGAAACTTGGCGGGTCACAAAGAATATTTCCAACAGCCTGTTGCAGACCTTTATCAACAACTGTCTTCGCTCTATACTGAAGATCAGATGGCCGGAAAGAATCACCAACAAGAAACTATGGGAACAAACAAAACAAGAACCAATCGCCCAACAAATATGCAGGAGAAAGTGGAGATGGATTGGACACTCGCTGAGGAGGCCGTTGGGTGACATCGCGCGTCAGGCCAATGCTCGAGTGGAACCCGAAAGGGAAGCGGCGAGTGGGACGTCCAAGGGTGACATGGAGGAGATCGTGTGAAGAGGAGCTGAATCAGTATGGATTAACATGGATGCAAGTGAAAAGTACAGCAGAAGACAGAAGCAAGTGGAGACGTGCAGTTGAAGCCCTATGTTCCACTAGGAACCCAAGGGAACAATAATAATAATAATACATTTACATTTAACGCACAAACTGTAATTGGCCAAATCATTTGTTATTAAAAGCACAGCTTATCAATACAATGAAACTTTCAGCTCATTGAAGAGTATCTCAGTTCAATAAAAATAACTTTGTTTAAAAAACTATAAAAAAGTCACGCTGGCTAGACAAAGGAAATAATAAGTAAGAGTGATAGATGTAAAGAGTACAGATGTTTCACTTGAGTGATTATTATAAGGTATTGTGGTATTATGAAGTGTTGGTTTTTAGGGATTTGATTGGTTACAGGTCTGATCACGAGTTGATATTACCAACACCTGATAATCAGTCTGATGCTCACTAGCAACTGGCTATATGTAAGAAGTTACCTGGAGTTTTGGTTGAAAGTCGTAAACACCGGGGTCCACCAAGTCTGGTAAGAGAACAGTTAGTCGCCTTTAACACTGACTGCCGCTCAGTAATGCAGAAGTTGGAATCCATGGACCATTGGATCAGCTCCGAGTAACTGAATTATCTACGGGCTGGCTTTGTAACCGGAAGCATCTGGGCTCAAAACTAGGACGAAATAACTGTCCAGTACTCCTTTGCTTTCCAAAGGTTCTGTAGCTGATGTCAACTCGTGATTAATCCTGTTAATTGTGATATTACACTGAAAATTTTGTCATGAATCAACAAAAGTTGTAGAATCATTGAAAACCAGGGAGGACTTCACAGTTGTTGCATCCTAGTTTGGGATTCTTCAACATTCCGCGCCCATGACTGTACCATGGATCGAACGCAGGAACTTCTAGTTACTATTTCAGCCAGGTGACTGTTTAACGACTGAGTCGGAATTCCATAACCTATGAATCCTAACTTCTGTCCACCTGTGATATAGCACTACGTCTAATGTAAACCATGGATGGGCATCCACTTCACCCTGGAACTGTGAACTCTGCTAGCGACGACCTGTTGTTACAATGATATTCTTAATTGTGGTCGACTGGAGTGTGCGTCAGACTGTGCACAGTGAGTGAGGAGACAGGAGTACGCTGGACCACCGATAAGAAGACTCTAGATGATCTGGATTTCGCAGACGATACATGTTCAATGTCACACAAACTCAAAAACTTATAGGCGAAAACCAACAAACTGGCTGAAGAAGCTGTCAGCGAACACAGGACTCCAGGTGAACATAGAGAAGACGGACGTGATGAAGATAACCAACGAACAGCAGCAGCAACAACAACAACCAGCACCAATCACCATCAATGGGAGAGATTTAACAGAGGTTACCTCCTTCACTTATCTAGGCAGCCAGCATCGTTTTAACTACAGGAGGAACGGATGAAGATGTCAAAGCCAGACAGGATCGGAAAGGCAAGATACGCCTTCATCAAGCTGAAACCAGTTTGGAAATCTTCTGCATTCAGCATAAGGAACAAGATTCGCATTTTCAACACCAATGTCAGATTAGTTCTTCTATACGGGTCAGAAACTTGCACTGCGTGTCACAGAAATCATTTCCAACAAGTTGCAGACTTTTGTCAACAGCTGCCTTTGCTGGTTCAATATTGAAGATCAAATGGCCGGCTGGCCAGCCAGAAAGAATAAGTAACAAGAAACTGTGGGAACAAGCTAACCAAGAACCTGTTGTTCAACAAATATGTAGGGGAAAATAGAGATGGATTGAGCGCACACTGCGGAGACTGTCGAATGACATCACGCGCAATGCAGGCCATCGCTCAAGTGGAATCCGAATGGGTCGTCACATTGAGGGTGACATGGCGAAGATCGTGTGGCGAGGAGGGGATGTGAGACTGTGATCAATCGTGGACCCAGCTGAATAGGATGGCAGAAAATAGGATAAAGTGGAGATGTGTAGCTGAAGTCCTACGTTCCACTTGGAATCCAAGGGAATAATAATAATATGACAAAGTTTCAAAATTTAGGGGAAGAAAATAAAAACTATTTATCACATGGATAATAGCGCGTTATATGATGAAATTGTAGTTAGTCTAGGTTATCGATGAATTTTAAACTAGCAGGTTTTCAATTCACTTCCGAAACAGCTGTTCGATGTTTAAGCAAGTAAGTAAAACATTGGATCTTAAGCTTTTTGAGGTTTCACTAGCGGATGTGTTTTTAATCTTACAGGGGAGAGCTGCTAGACTCACACCCAACCTCCCCTCTCCCCATTTTCTGGGTTTATTACCAGCTAGGCGAGGTTTAAGAATGCCTCAACCGGAAGTTGAACTCCGGACTTCGCACATAGCTAGAGAGCATTCTATCAATGAACCGCTGAAAAACTACAAAAAGTCATACATATTATTGTTATTCTGATTGAAAGGAAAAAAAGATAGGCAGCATTCACTTTGTAGCTGGGATAGAACTCTAAATTTAGAAGAGAAATATAAATGCTAAACAAAATAATTCATATAAAAAGTTTTGATTTCACTTCAATGAATTTATTCACTTCAAATATATTGGTAATATTTTTGTTCATTCATAACAGTTTGCTTTTATGTAAACTTTTGTTTCTTTTCTGTGGTAAATACATAGAAATAGGCAGTATTTTCATAACTGTAACATAGATATGCTGATATATGTAACGGTGACAACCAATTGTCAGAATAAAACTTTTAAAACTTTCTATGCTGTAAAATTTACTCACTAACCACAAAAAGTATTAGTTTCACTGGCAATGACAGATATCTGTGATATGAGAGCCGGTAATATTCACCGGATGCCTAAAATTTCAGCATGTGTAAGGGGTTTAAGGTTAAATTCAATGAACTACAAAACCACAGAAATTATATAAATATATAGGCTGTCATAATGACGGTTATTCTGCTCCATGATATTTGTTAACGCTTGGCTGCATGGTAATGCGAGCATAACGGCACATTTGAGTGTGAGCAGTATCAGTGTCCAGCCGAATACAACCACTAACCCCTTCCATTCCAACTATTTCAGATCAGGTAGATGAACTTCGGCATTTACTAATCTTCGGTTATACATTACAAAAAGCCTTTACCTCTGTTTCTACAGCAGACCGTATGTGCCACTTCTTCATGATGAGTTTAGTTATTTATTCGTAAAATATAAACTTTATTTCTTGTCAAAAAAATCCAGTTTAGCTACTGGTAGTTCTCTATGTCCACTCAGGCCTGGCCATTCACTTGTATGAACTAATGCATGATAGCAGTTCACACGGGTGTTCAAGAAGGATTGACATTCTTCAATAAACGCTTCTCGGCAGTAACTCATAGTCAGGTAAGCTATTTATGTCTACCAACAGCATGATACAGACTGTCGTGAAGTGATACAATAGATGGTTGTTTGAAAAAATCGTAATTCATTAGCATCAACGTTGTTGATGAATGAGATGAAGCATAATAAATAATAATATGAATTCAGTAACCTTATAAACTTACCTCAGAAATTTTCTGATCAACCTGGTTTGCCGTACCATTCAGTGTAGGTGTAGATAACATTACTGAAGGAACAGACGAATCAGCTTCCAACTGATGATGATGATGACGTTGTTGTCTAAATGATGCATCAGTATTTGAGAATATTTGTTGTGACTTTACTCGAACAAGTTCACAAGGAGGCTCATTTAAAGATTGTTTATCAGATTCCACCATTCCTTGATTATTTATATTAGAAGAGTCCAGTGTAACAGCAGAAGTAACTTCTCGTCTAGGTAAATGCGTCAAACTCTTTGCATGTTTCACTTTCACACTGTTATCTGATTCAAGGTAGACTGAACTGACATTCAACAGATTCTCTCCTTTACTGCTACTGTATATACGACCATCGTCGTCACCATCCCCATCACCGTCATCATCATGATCATGATCATCATCGTCTTCTGATAAACCAGTAATTAAAGAGATTGCACCTAGTGAGATTGCATCAGCTAAACTTTCTGGAGCTTCATCCATATGTACATATTGATCTGATTGAATATCACTTTCCAGATCATCAATTAATTCACTATGTGCAATATCAGTTGTAGACAAAGGACGACTTTTATTCCCGTCTAATGATAATTCTTCACTAAATACTATTGAACTGTTAAATAATGAATTATCATGAGATTTTCCAAGGGATTGCTGATTATTTGAGAAAACAAAACACCGGATGTGAAGCGTACATGGGAACAAAACAAAAAAAACAAAACGAGGGATAAATAAACTAAAGGAACTGGTAAGACATGTATGTAATTTGTTAGCTAACCAATTTAGTGCTTTATAGTCTAGTGTAAGGATACTATGAACATTTATTTCGATATAATATTTATGAGGTTAGTTAACAAAATCCAGAAATGAAAGAAGTGTTAGACGTATGCAGGTTTATAATAGTGTAGAGAAAAACAGAGTTGAGTTCTTATTTTTACAAAATTATTTTTTGAAAAAAAGATAATCTACTTCAGAATATCTGAAGTATGTTTAATTTGAATAAAGCAAGAACAACAATTTGTGCAGAATAAGACGATGGTACCACCATTTACTTCGTTGGCTTCTCATCAACTGCTTACAGCCTTTTTTAATTATTATTAAGTTTATGTACAGAAAAGTTTTAACATACTTGCAAATTATACATGATGTCAGTTGACAGGAGGTTCCTGAATTAGTGAACAGTGCTCGGAAAATTACACTTATATAGTTTTTACACAGGCAGTTCACGTTAACAAAGTTATTGCATGTATGCAATGATAAAGGAGTTACGCAATAAAGACGAGAGATGCCTCAGATGATGAGTAACTAGTAAATTGGGTAACAATCTACTGAGTTCAACTCAAATCATAGAAACAAGAGACAAGCAAAATTACAGTGTATCGAAGGTGGGGGGGGGGTGAGGTTAAAGCCAAATACTACGTTACCAAATGAGAGAGAGAGAGAATAAAGACATCCAGTTACCAGGCAGGGCAAGGAAAGATTGATAACTGCTTCTTTCTGAACACATAAATCGGATTTCAGGCGTTTGATAGAGATTGCTTCGGCAAACTTGAGGAGAATTGAGCTTTTTTGTCTATTGATAACTTTAAAGGATTTTGCGATTTCCACCTCATGACCCGTATCAAGGAGATGTCTGGTAATGGCATTGTTGTAAGCGTTTGTTCCCTTGAGATGTAGGCTTTTCGGTACATGTTCGGAAACTCGGAGGTGTGATCTTCTTTCTGTTCTCCCATTGTTTAAACTTGAACTCCCTGTGTGAAAACTATATAAGTGTAATTTTCTGAGCATTGTTCACTGCGTTCAGAACCTCCTGTCAGCTGACATCATGTAAAATTTGCAAGTATGTTAAAACTTTTCTGTACATAAGATTAATAATCTCCTTAGGCTGCAAGCAGCTGATGAGAAGCCAACGAAATAAACAATGAAGGTACCATCGTCTTATTCTGCACAAACCACTGCTGTTCTTGCTTTATTCAAATTCATATAGGGGAATAAAGGTATTTTTAATTTCATCGACTAGTTGCAGAGTGTCATATTCACAGTTTGACATTTCCACCATTCGAGATGAAATTTCACCACAGTTTCTTTTGGAAATCGAAATTATTCCGACTACAATAAATCATCTGCTAGGCGCCATAGACAGCAATCAAGAAATCGAGGATAAAGTTTATCTCTGAGTGAACTGATCATGTCAAAATGCCACTTTATTCCAGCCCTACACATTGCGTGTGATTTTCCTTCTTTATATGCCAGTACTATCGATTATTTGAATACTTAATTATTTATGTCATTTTCATAATCCACACCATCGTTACGTCATCCGGTCATTAAAACTGTGCCACTGTGTGTCATATCAATTAGACTTATCTAATACATAGGCATTCATGCATGATCCTATTTCCTGCTTAGTGAATGAAATGAATACTTGAATACCACTCATGTTACTCGCAATATAAAGAAGAAACATCACGTGCTGTATGTAGGATTTTTAATAAGAGTGGCACTTAATACAACCATTTCTGTCAGAGACAAACTTTGTCGGTTTAAGGACACAGCAGATTCAATTTGCAAAAGTAATATCATTTACTGAATACTATGTAATGACTGGAAGGTCAAAAAGCTAGTCTGGAATAGTGGATTGGGATTAGTTAGGTTATGGGAACATAGGAATTCAGTTCGATATAGAATTGTCGACCTCATCAAGTTAAATGCTACGCATTCACGTGCACATAATCACACAACAGCATGGGACAGGGTAAAAGTACTAAAAAGCAATACAGCTGGGTGAAGAGAGAGAGAGAGGTTAACCACTTCATATTTGTTGATAGAATCAGCGCCAAAAAACGTGCAATCCAAATGACAATATGTCTATACCAGATAAGTAGAAAGCAAGTCAGAAAGTTGTATGAGTACCTTAGTATAATTATGAGCAATAAATTATCTTCGAAACGCCATCCAGTTGTTAACACTGTATCACTGTGTGTTATATCTAATAAACTCATCTAGCATGGAATTGTATTCTACTACGGTGCTCAAATTCTACTCTAGAATGCAATCCTAAGTTATGATGGAGGCCTAGTTCAGGACAAGATTTAAACTGAAACGCCTTTTGAGTTAGCAACTCAGACCAATAGTAACAGAATTGTAAGACTCAGCTTCTTAAAAACTCCCAATCTTAATTTTTACTGTTCATTTGGGTGAAAGAAACGGGAGTGTTTTATTGAGAGCAACTACAAAATTCACAGTTCTAATCCTGTCATTGCCTAACTTGGCGTTTCATTAATAATAGTAATCCTATCAAAATAAACAAAGAAATTCACTGGTCTAAATTTCTAATGTAACTGGGAAAAATTCTTCGGTCTCGACTTTCTAAAAAGTTTTCCCTTCCTTTTCTGGTTTTAATAAATCTCATAGGATGAATTCTTAAGACTTTAGATCTTTATATTAAATTCTTTAGAATTTATTGATTAATTTTGGTTACTATGAGATGTTCAAGAAAGACTATGATTTAAACAACTTATATTGATACCAGTGGTGCAATTGAAGGTTGAACTTGAACAAGATGATAAAAACTGATAATCAAGTTTTGTTTTTGTAGGGATTTTGTTTGATTGGATGGAGGATTTCATCATGAGCTGACATCAGTTAGAGAACCACTGGAAAACCTGGGAGTACTCGACAGCTGTTTCGTCTTATTTGGGGACTCTTCATCAGTACGCACCCACCGGGGTTGGAATCCAGGACCTTCTGGTTACAAGGCGAGCTGGCTTATTCACCATTAAGCCACTGGGACCCGATCCAATGGCCAGCCCATGAATTCTAACTTCTGCCAATTCATGACATAGCGCAACCACTTCGTAATGTCTTCTTCAATGAGTTACTGCCTCACCTTCAACCTGCTGCACCCTACCCGTCACGGCCTCCCACTGGAAGCCCAGGTTAACTGCCTGAATAGGGTCAGTCGCTAGTGAGCATCATGAATTGGCAGAAGTTAGAATTCATGGGCTGGCCATTGGATCGGGTCCCAGAGGTTTAATGGTCTACGAGCTCGCTATTCTTGTAGCCAGAAGATGATGGGTTCGGACCCCTCTGGTGGTGGGTGCATACTGTGAAGAGTCCCAAACTAAGACGAAACAGCTGTCGAGTGCGTAAACCAGTGAGATATAGCTCTAGTTAAAGTATATGCATGTGTATATCACTTAGGCGGTTACAAAACTTTAAACTTACCAAATCCACGAGACTTGCATCCATTGAAACATTTCCATTTGGCGCATAGTCATTTTCACTTCGACATTGACTTGTTTTATCCTCTTCATCGTATTTTTCATTCCCTGCTTCTTCAGCGTCATCATCTTGAGAGAATGCTTCAAAGTTGTCAAGTGAAACTTGATATGGTGAATGTGTTTCAGATACATTATCGTCTATATCTTGATGACTGGAAAAATATCAAAATGTAATTTTTAAAATATATGGAAATCGCGAAATATACTCACTAGTTCATAGGGAAAAAGTTTTTCATCAGTGAAGAAATATCTCTTTTCAACGACTTCATTTTTAAGCTGTACAGTCGTATTTATATCTTTAAAAGTTTTGTAATTCATCCACTTCAACTCTACCCACTTAATAAATCATTTTAATTATCTTTATTCTTATCATGTGTATATTGACTGAGCAATTTCTGGTGCCACTTAATGCCTTTTCCATAACATAAATACGACTGTAAAGGTTGAAAATGAAGTCGTTGAAAAGAGATATTTCTTCAAAGATCAAAAACTGTGTTTTTACATATGGAAATAAATATTTCTCTGGTCATAATGAAGAATACTATATATATATATATATATATTCAAATGCTATAGTTTTAAATTACTAATCTTCACAACCTGAAGAATTTTAAGTCAGATTTCACCACAAAGTGACATTGGTCAGAGAACCATTGAAAGCAAGGGAAAAACTGGACAGTTGTTTTGTCTTACTTTCAGACTCTTCAACTGGATGCACTCATGATTTTACGAGTGATAGTACCCAGTACCTTCATGTTAACAAGTGATGCGTTAACATTGAGCTACTGTTATAGAATCCCATGGTGCATGAATTCTAAGTTCTCTCAAGTAGTATATATATATATATATTTCACCACTAGTAAATATAGTGCGTCGATGGCACAGAGGTAGAATGCTCGCCAACAATGCACGTGGTCCGAATTTCAATCCCACTAAGCCAGTAATAAAACTGGTAAAGAGGGAAGGTTGGGCATGAGGCTAGCAACCCCACCCTGTAAAAATAGAACCACTGCCACCGAAACTTCATAGCTGTAGCTTAAAGCCCTATGTTCCACTGGGGAACTCAAAGGAATAAGTAATATTAATATATATAATATTTACTAGTAAATATCTGTCATCACAGACAACTTGGTGAAGCCTAATGTCGAAGAACTTCAGAAAGGGAACAATGTATGAACTTCCAAGCGTTAGTTTGTAGGAATAGCTTAATTTTGAAGTTTGATCTCATCAAGAATTTTCACTTATACGTCTTATTTTACTTCATGGATACTGAGTGTTGATTTTTTTTATAAAATAAAAGCTGTCCAGTACTCCCAGGTTTTCCAATAGTTCTCTAACTGATGTCAGCTCATGATGAAATCCTCCATCCAATCAAACAAAATCCCTACAAAAACCAATGCTTAAAAAAATCCACTAGTTTTCTAATAAGTCTGAGTCAGAGTTAATGAAAAATCTACAAAATGTCAACTCAGCAATAAATTTTAATTTGTTTGATTTATGAGAAAGGTTACACTCAAGTTAAGTTTACCCGGGAAGCATTCACCGCAAGTGTTAAGATTATTTGAAGGAAGAGTTTTGTTGAAAAAAGAAATCAGCTGCATAGGAATGCTAGTAAATCATTTTGTTAAACGGAAAGTTTTCTAGACTAAGATGTGAATAGATTTTAAAAGGCAACGACAACTTAAGATAAATAAAAAGGAACTAATAAACATATGTGCATATCGCTTTTCGGTTTCAAATAATCTTTCTTTTTTTAATCACTTTCTAGAACGCTTTCGTGTAAAATTTAAGTTCACATTGTAACATTCATAAGCTCAGAGATTGTAATTGTAATCTTCTTCAAATCTTTTACCATTCTGAAGAAAAAAAATGTTTAATGAATTCGGTGAATCCTACAGGAAACAAGAACCGGATTTTCAAAAAATAATGTAAAGTCAGCGTTTCTATTACCTTTCAGAGATTAGACACACGCATCTTAAAAAGCCTTCCCGACAGCCTTCTATAGACTTTCATCAACTGCTGCTTTTGCTGACTTGATAGTGAAGATGATTAGATTATTCGGCGTTGAATCCGCCGAAAAGCTTTCGCATAACAAGTGTGCAGATGGACTGAACATTCGCTGAGGAGACTGATAAGTGGCATCACACGCAGGGCAGGCTGCCGAGTTAAGTCCGAATGGGAGACGACGAGTTGAGCGGCCCACGGTGACAAGAAGGAGAAGAAACAAAAGTTAGTGGAGCCAGCTAGGAAAGACAGCGGAGGGCAGAGTGAAACAGAGATATGGTGTTGAAGCCCTATGTTCTACTCGAAATCCTAGGTGATAATAATGATAATAATACAGAAAGTAATTCTGTAGTCATACTTTTCAGGTTATATTAAGGATTATTATCTATTGTAGCGATATCTTTTCACATTGGATGACGAAATCCTACTCATTATTGTCTCTTTGTCTCAAACAGTTAATTTGTAATATTGTTACATATCTGTACATAATTATTCTATAACAGTTTCTATGTAATACTATTAAGACTGAGTAGTTTTATGTAAAAGAAACAATGTGAAGTCTACATTTCGTCAGAATAGTTATACCGCTGTTAGAAGCCGCTTTAGTCTTCTGTTGGCAGCAATGAAGACACTTCATGTAGCATAATTATCATAGTCACAGGGGATAAACCACAGCGATCTGCTTCGTATCTAAAACAACTTAATGTTATGCAGAATTGTTTTTCATCTTTTTGCGTTCCAAGTGGAGCATAGGGCTTAAGGCTTTTGAAGTTTCGGTAACAGTGGTTTTGTCTTAACAGAATGGAGTTGCCAGGCCAACGCTCAACCTCATCTTACGCCTCTTTCAAGCATACTACAAGACAGAAAGCTAGGCAAAATTCAGCCATCGACGCACAGAATTATATACCCATACAAATAGTGTTATATCAGCATATGTTTGTTTTGTTGAGACTGCACACACAGTAATGTTTTAAATGTTAGTGAAAGCTATAGTTTTACTACAGATAATTCCAGAAAAGCAATAAATTATGGCAATGTCTACTAATGACTTAAAGGAAAGTCTATTAAAGTGTAGAAATTAAATACGTGCAAAAAAATTTACCGACTTTTGTTGTTCAATGTCGAAGAACTAATCCTATATGAGAATAAAGATAAAATTCTTAAAACTAAACACTTAAAAAAAATTAACTCTATTTTAAAGGCTATTAATCTTCAAGTGGTTTTATGGTTCATCATAACAACGGTTCCAGTTATAGCAGCATGGTTCACACAGTGACATAATGAATATGTTTTAAGGTATCCTGACATTAGCTTGGGAATTGAAAAAAACAACCTTTTTTGAAGTATTTCTTTGCATGGCTTTAGAATTCTTGCTAGCTTTTAGGCTAGTCATCATATCTAGGCGGTAGGTTTAGAAGTTAAACATGATAGGCACCAAGAGATTTCTTAGGTTCGAATGATACTGTCTCTGAAAATATAGGTCATAAACTACTTAAATGTTCCGTTCCACAAGACTAGGAAAATGTTCCACATGAGAAAAACAGCTATAGACTGAACCGTGAATACAGACGCATCATGAATATGAAAACAACATAAAAAGGTAAAGAGGACAAAAGCAGAATGATACTGCAACTAATAAAGATTAGTTTGACGGAAAATGGAGTAATATTATGAACATTCATCAACATGTTGCGTATTCCGAAGATGATAATGAATGAATATATATGCATCAATGCGAATTATTTTGTATTGTCACTGAAAATCTCCAACTAATAAATTTCTAACATACTGAAAAACGTCAACCTCCACTTCCGTTGACGGTTCATGCTAACAGTTACAAACTTAATGGATATCTGCTATGGTTGATTATAACTACTTCTCACGTTAATTTAAAGTGGTCCTACTTTAGCCATCATTGTTGAAAAAAAAAGACTGTTTTGTCAACATGTAGACAGAAGTTCCTCTCACATATTTTAAATGACAACCTTTAAAATAAAATCACCAACGTACTGAAGTCACGGATTCAATCAATTTTATAGAAAAAAAAGTGTTGCAGTCATAAAAATCGGCTAGATGGCAACTGAATATTATGGATTTTCATCATGAGTGACATTGGTTAGAGAACCATTGGAAAACCTGGGAGTACTGGACAGTTGTTTCCTCCGTCCTAGTTTGGGACTCTTCATCAGTACGCACCCACCGGGATTCGAACCCAGGACCTTCTGGTTACAGACGAGCTCGTAGACCATTAAACCACTGGGACCCGATCCAATGGCCCATGAATTCAACTTCTGCCAATTCAGACATACGACCTAGCAGTCTTCGGTGAGTATTTGTCCTCACACCCAACCTGCTGCACCCTACTGGTCACGACTTCTTACTAGAACCCCAGGTAACTACCTACCTGAATAGGGCAAGTCGCTAGTGAGCATCTCATTGATATTCAAGTGTTGGTTTTTAGGGATTTGATTGGTTACAGGTCAGCTCATGATGAAAATCCTATAACCAATCAAATCCCTACAAACCAACACTTGAAGTATTATAGTCGGAGACTTTCGTGAACAGCTACTTTCGTTGGCTCCCTACTGAAGATCAAGTGGCCAGAAAACATTAGCAAAAAACCAACCAAGAACCTGTCGGCTGACAAATACGCGGAAGAAAATGGCGATGGAGATCCTTGATTGACGTCACAAGTTAGGCAGGCTGTCAAGTGGAATCTTATAGAGGAACAACGAATTGAGAGTGGGTCTAAGGGTAACACAGAGGAGATCTAGTGGGAAAGGAATGAAGACTTATGAACAATCGTGGAGCCAACTAAAGAGGACTTCAGAGAACAGATTAAAATGGAGATGTGTGTTTTTGAGGCTCCGTGTTCCACTGGGAACCCAAGTGAGTATTAATGAATAAATAATATTGAGTGATAATGTTTCACTTAGCTTTGAGTCTGTTTTTAACAGTGACTTAGGGGATTGAGTTCAATATATCGGAATCCGTTAATACATAATGATATCCGATTATATCGATTTCTGATTTATTGGTTTTCAACCGCATGAATAAATAATAATTTGTTCATTTCGAAAATTTGACAATGTTTTTATTTTATTCCTATTTTTCTCTCGGCTCATAGATATTTCTAGTTGTTCGCTTTTTGTGACAAACCACACCGCAGTGTATCAATTCTGTTCGTCACTATAGGGAATTATTATTATTATTACTACTTATTTTCACTGTAGAACTAGAAATAAAGAATTCTCCTCATAAACTAATTGTTTTTCATTGATAACTGGTTTACAATGAGATGAAGTGAGGTGTAGACATAAATCATTCACGCATAAGGAATATATATATATATATATGAATGGACATTAGGACATTAGGGAGAAGGGAAGAGAACTCTTCAGAGTAATACTTATTTATATATTTCTATTGTTCATTAGAGTGTCTATTTCAATTGATCTAGCATGATATAGTATGATACAATGTTTACGTAATGCTACAAAATTCATATATTCATATTAACGATAATGCATACATATATAAGGAAGGAATTAGAATATAATTAATGAACTGAGCAATAATTGCGTGAGACAAAAAGCATAAGTCTTGTCTGTTTGAGGAAAAAAATACACACTTCTCAGTGATTAATGATTATTCTTAGGTAAGATAAGCCAGTGAAAATATATATGAGATAAAGTCTGTAAATTTCTAAAGTTCAAAGCGACACTAATGAGAATATAGACGTCTGGAAAATAGCATTAAATACTCTCACACTCTTTGAAGTTATTTTTGGTTGATGGTGACTAGCAGTGAAATCCATAATGCATACTTCGTCGTATTTGTGACTCGTCAGCCGGATGTACCTGCATTCCCAGTAAGCGATGGTGTTTCTAAGGAGGGTCGAAGTCTACACCTATGCTTGAACATGTGTCAACATAAACCGAGCATTGCCGGCCAACATAATCAAATTAACCTCAAAATTCTATATATATATATATATATATGATAGCATCTAGAAGCACTGGGGTATTTCCTATCTCATCTGTCTTATGCAAAAATGACGTAATGTACTTTATCAGATATTACCATATCTTTTAATTGCTTAATTTAGCTTTTTAAGTGAATCAGCTAGGTTAAGCTATTTCACATAAAATTTAAGATGCATATTTTAATAGTAATTTTCAATTTTGGACGTAACCGAAATCTTATTGTCTAGGTTGGAAATGATGGCCTAATTACCTTAGTTACCTTAGTTTTTAAATGACGTCAACAAGCTTTTGGTCTTATTATCAGATAGATGAAATTAATCAGTAGCAAGCTCTTCAGATATACGTTTTATGCTTATAATCATTTGTCAGACTAAAGCTTACAAGCCAGTAAACTAAGCATTAGCAGATACAGTTATATTACTTTTTTCTTATTCCTTTGCGTTCCCAGTGGAACATAGGGCACTACAGCTTTGAAGTTTCGGTAACACTGGTGTTTTATTTTTACTGGATAGGATTGCTAGCCTCATACCCAAACTTCCCTCTTTACCAGTTTTATTACTGGCTTAGTGAGGTTTAGAAGTGCGTCGGCCGGGGATCGAACCCCGAACCACATGAGGCGTGGTTGGTGAGCATTGTACTACTGTGCTACCGACGCACAGATACAGTTATATAGTAAGTGTATATTCATTAGAATATATTGAGAACGTTTAAAAGAATCATTAGATCCTCAAATGTTGGTTTGCAGGGATTTGAGGTTAGAATTCATTGGCCATTGGATTCTCAGTGACTCAGTAGCCAATGCCACTCTCTTCGTAATCTGAAGGTCCTGGGTCAGATCCTTCGAGATGAGGGTGATGAATGCGTACTACTGAAGAGTCTCAAACTAGGACGAAACAACTGTCCAGCACTACCTCGTTTTCAATATTTACCTAAATGGTACCAATTCGTCAGCCCACTTAAAACCAATTATCAGGCTATTACTAGGCACACAACACAAGTGGAATGCCCATGATTCCGTTCTTCTCTTAAGAATAAATGAATTTCAAAAATAATGCTTAACATACCTTAAAACTGGTTATAGTACTCTATAATACAGTTGAATAACATGAAAGGTGACCTGCTGAAATCACTTCTTTGTGAAGTTAAAATTAATTTGAAAAATTCTTTTTAAAGTTAGCTTCTTTACTTGAAATCGTGACATATTACTGTTTTTTTTTTCAAATATAAAGGTATGACCTACAAACAGAGTCATTCTGTTGGATAAATGAAACATAGTTAACGAGAATATTTTTCTCACTGAATAGTTCACTGTAATCTTGCCATTGTCATACCCATCTATTTGTTAACGGTGAAATAGATACCACTCAGTCAGTAATCTTCAAGAAGTGGTGAAACGTATCTCAGTGACTTTCCTTCAGAGTTAGCGCAATGCGGCAAACATGACTTCCTATTACTATTATTATTTCCTTTAATTCCTAGAGGAACATAGGGCTTCAGCGGCGCGTTTCCATTGCGTTCGGTTCTCTGCTAGAGTTTTCAACTGGCTCCAAGTCTGCCCACATGCTTTCATCTCCTCTTCACATGACCTCCTCCAAGTCACCCTTGCACTGACGACCAACTCGCCGCTTTCCTTTCGGGTTCCACTCGAGCAATGGCTTGTCTAGTGATGTCACTTGATGGTTTCCTCAGAGTATGGCCAATCCATCTCCATTTCTTCCTGCCTATTTGTTTCACAATCGGTTCCTGGTTGGTTTGCTCCCAGAGATCCCTACTGCTGATCTTTTCTGACTTCCTATGCAAGAACTAATTGCTGCGAAAAGCTCTAACCCAATTTCTATCCTTTAAGTTTTTCACAGATCTATTATCCATAAAAAATTATCTAGTTATTAAGGCATAAGATAGCGTTATGTCTGAAAATTAGATTAAAATAAAGTTACTCTGTCACTCACATTCTCTAAAAAAGCTAGAATCAATTTCTATCAGTGGCAAAATTACACTGGGGTTTACCCATGAAAATAAAAAAGCACTTATTTGTTTAAATAACTTCGTATTTTCTTTTGATCGATTTTTATTGGGGCGAAATGCTCGGTCTTTGTCAACATGTCAGTTCCTACCTAGTACGGCCACCTATATGATGTCTGAAGGTTAACATAATTTCATTTCATTGATAGTGGCCAGCAGTGGAATTCAAAATTCGCATTTCTCTCTTCAACGTTTGAAATGATGGGTGCTGGATTCAAATCTCAATGGAAACACCACCACCCACTGGGGATGCAGATACATCCGGTTGATGAGTTTCAAATAGAATGAGACGCACATTCTGAATTCCCTGGTGGCCACAATCAGACAAATAAAAAACACAGAACTTTGAAATTCCATAGAGTATGATTGCAGTATATGCATTAAACGTTCAAACACCTATATATATATAACATAAACTTACTCATCTGCAGAATATCTATCAACTGATTTTATATCCTCTTTCACTTCTGCTAGACTGACATGTAATTCTGCATCGTTTTCAGTACTAGGGGAGGTAATCTTCTGTTGATGATCATTGTCCCATGTAGAATGATGTAAGCCTTCATGGGAACCCGAATAGTTTTCTTTGTCTAACAACTCTTGATGATTATTCGATAGTTCTGTTTCACCAAATTGACGTAAAGATGTCATTAATGGGGATTGTATTGCATATGTACAATTCTAGAATTTATTAACCAAATGAAAATAAATTACAATGAAGTGAAATCGAAGACTTAGAGTTGAATATGCCTGCATCATTGATTATACACTTCATTACAGTGTATGCTAAGAATAACAGTTCAACAAATGTCACACTTTAGATCTTACATTTTATTCAAAGAAGCAATATGGAGTACGGTTATAATGTTAAACAAATAAAATATTATCAGGCAAGAATCTATCAATTTAGTATACTATATTACAAAGTGTTTAATCTAAAGGTTATTCAGTAAACTTGTAAATGCATGATTTTAAACTATTTACTTATAACTATTAAACATAGTGTTAATAGTAAAATATTGTTCAGACTAAAGATTTTGTCAGGATTCGGATTTTGTCACAAACTAATATCAGTTAGAGAATCGTCGAAAACCATGGAGTACTCGGTAACTGTTTCGTTGTAATTTAGGACTCTTCAGTAGTGCTTACCCAAAACTCCACCAGGGATCGAACCTAGGGCCTGAAAGCGCGTGTAGCTAGTGGAATCCAAACTCATGCCCTTCCGGACTAGTGAATGGGTGTGCACTGCTGAAGAGTCCCAAACAAGGGCGAAACAGCCACTCATTACTACCTGGATTTCAGTGGCTCTCAAAATGACTTCAGCTAGTGATCAAACCTCCTGCCAACTTCACAAACTGGAATATGTGATAGATTAAATGTTTTATGAAGGTTAGCAGAAAAAGATGCCAGATGAATGAGATTTCCTTTCCAATGGTTTTCATGGAAGTCACAAAAACATCTGAAGATGATTGTAGAACTACTCTGACTAATTTGATCTCCCATTTGATTTATTTTAATTTGTAGCTAAATTCAAAAGAATAAGATGTTAAACTGATGTAATCGTAGGAAGATAATTTACAACTGAAGACAACTTAAGTAGGCAAACTTTAGATGGTTGGGGGCAGTCGGCAGGACTAGACACATGACACCAGTTAATTAGTGTCCAATCAAAGTAGGTAAATTTTAACTGAATAAAACATGAACTAAGTTTGTCTATTGATCTTTTCTCCACATTTTCATTATTGCGGATATAATTCAATTACAATAGAGCTTTGGATGGGTAAATAGTGCTAGTGAGAGAATTTAACAGAACTGTGAAATTTCATAACAGCTGAAGTAACACTAGAACCAAAATGTATATCTTTTAGCTAGCCATTTTGATACTATACACAAACTGACTATCGGTTGCTTTATATCATAATATTGTATTATTACTTCTAGGCTGAATAGGATCATTCAGGTGCACGAATTTAATCTCTCTCTCTATATATAATATTTTTCCAGCGGCAACGGGATTAATTTTTCATGAAAAGGTCACTAACCCCACGCCAAACTTTTCCTTTTTTCTGGGCTAGGGCCATCTAGTAAACTTGGTGCCAGGCCCAAATAACAAACAGCCAGTTGAGCGTCTGAGAGTGACATGCAGGAGGGCCTGTAAGGAGGAGATGAAAGTTTACATGCAATCGTGGTGCCACCTAAAATGGACGGCAGAAAACCAAGTGAAATGAAAATCTGCTGGTGAAGCCGCATGTTTCACTCGGAACCTAAAGGAATAATATATATATATATATATATAGAGAGAGAGAGAGAGAGAGATAGAGAGACAGACAGAAATAAAGCATAGATCGTTACACCAGTACAAACCTTTAAATTTTGTTTAGTAGAAATTACAGACATAGGTGAAGTATCCTTTTCATCTGCACTATAATCTAACTCAGTGATTTGTAGATTAGATAAATCACTTTTTGACGTTAACAAATACTGTGGATGATCTATCGGTTCATCATAGGCTACTGGTCTTGGATAGGATTCTGATGTTAGCGAACATGAAGATGAATTGGGCGATTCATTGACACATGGTTTAAACATATTTGTAGAGGCTAAGTAAAAGAAAAGAAAAGATTTATATACAAATGAATAAAATTATAGGATAATAGAGGATCACAAGTTTTGAACTATTTATATACATATAAATATAAAATAGGGAAGTAGATTCGGATTTCAGATTCTATTTGCTTGTCATATATTGTGATATTCATGTATTCCTTTACGTTCCCAGTGGAACATAGGGCTTCAAGCTAGAGGCTTGAAGTTTCGGTAGCAGTGGTGTTTATTTTTACGGGATGAGGTTGCTAGCCTCTTACCCAACCTTCCCTCTTTACCAGTCTTATTACTGGCTTAGCGAGGTAAAGGAGTGCGTCGGCAGGGAATCGAACCCCGGACCACGTGTGGAGTGGTTGGCGAGCATTCTACCGCTGTGACACCGACGCACGATACTAAAAGGTATTTTTACCTAAGGAACAACAACGACAAGCATGAATGGATGATGCTGATATGAATAGTTGGATACCATTCACATCGATAAGTAATGCGTGCTAAGCAGATCACGGTGATCCAAACACCGGACGGCACTACTCGTTGATGTGAGTGGTGTCTAACTACTCATGTTAACCAATCAGTAGTATATAGCGTCATGTATTCATGCCTAATTTTTTGATCGCCATTTATGGTATCAGGAAGATCGGAATAATTTTGGTTTCCAGAGGAAACTGTGGTGAAATTTTACCTGGAACTATGTAAATTAAAAATAACAAACCCAGGTAGTTGCCGAGAATTCGCGTATTTCCAAATGATTCGAGGCTCTTTGAGCTGAGTCAAGCTGTGTACACCGATGATGAGTTCGTCCTTAGACGAGCGAAACGGCAATCCAGGGTTCTGATTATTTCGATTTAGCTAGCAAGCGCTACTAGATCATATGAGTGGTAACCAAATACGTATATCAGTCAATCAATGACATAAAGGCATCATGAATTCCTTCAGTTGATGACAATGATTATATATCTTATTTATGCTCAGATTACACTAAAATGTATTTTAATATTCAGAGTATGAAACAAAGCTTAGTACAGATTACAACTTCTCCACAACAATGTAGCCAACCAACTAATGTAGGAAAATTTCAGGTGTCAGATCTAAGATACTTAAGTAAGCTCTCAACTAGAAAGTTTCAAAGAAAGCAGAAATATCAATATAAAACTAGATGATTTCAGAAAATCTCTCTCTACCAAATTCAACTGTGACGAGTGCTACTGATAAGATTTATCAGTAGTATATAAAGAGACGTTCATCGGCATAAAAACATCAAATAACAGGGAGATAGATTTGGTGTCAGAGAAAGCAAATGATACAGCCTTGCAGAGATACGTGGCAGACGTGAAAGGAACACAAAGAAACACAATATGAGGTCCAGAAGTAGCACAACACGAAGATCTGTGCAAATGGTACGTTGAAGATGAGGTTTACAAAATTTGGCTATATAGAGATATCAATTTCTACCTTTTGTCTTCCACCGTTATGCAATGGCGATTAATAATCACAATACTTGCACCCGCCAGTCAATGCTGAAATTTACTAATACTCATACGAATGTGTAAATAAGCTAAAAGAAATGGGACGACCTGAGATATAAGTCCTGCCATTACGCATTAAACACGTGTTTTCATTTTCGAGATGATTAGCCATAGAAAAGTAACAAAACTATACGGCGAAATTCAAATAAAACATTAAGTAGTTTGTTAAATAATAATATGAATAAAAGAAGGTTAACTAAACGAATCAAACTTCAGCTTACTTTTAGACAAACAACCTTCTGATGGACGTTTTGTTAAATGATTTGTATAAGTAGACTGTTCATTGTAGTATTTACTGTCAGACCAATCGATTGTGTGTACATCTTGGGATACAGAAGATTGTCTACTTATAGTACCAGAAAAATGACGAGGAACATATGAATGTGTACTAACTTTCCGTCGACAAGAGGATACTTGACGATCAATTGACGATGTACTTACAGCGCGATTACTTTAAGATTAAATTTAATAAGTACAATGAAAAAAATATTATTGTTAGTATTATTTCATTTAAAAAAATATGATATGATAAAGCAATACACTAATAGAAACACAAAATCTTATTGATAGAACATCCTTGTTATTACCATTGTCATGACAACATTTATATAACTTATAATACTCAGACATGATATCGCTAAAAAATACCAAAAGGTAATTACATATTGCTAGTTTGTGGAGGTCAGGTGGCTCAGCGGTAGGATGCTCGCCGACCATGCATGTAGTCAGGGGTTCGAGTCCCGACTGGTGCACAACTTTACCTCCCCTAGCCGATTGTAAAACCGACAAAGACAAGGAAGGTTGGGTGTGAGGCTAGCGAATCCACCCCGTAAAAGACACCACTGGTACTGAAACTTCAAAGCTCAAGCTTCAAGCTCTATGTTCCACTCGGAACTCGTAGGAATAAAAAAATGGGTATTTCCTTGTATTATGACATTGCTGTAAACACTTTACGGTCTATGTTAACTTGTTTTACATTGAGCAATGACAGTTAATAATACACCATGTATTAGTGTGACAGTAAAACCTTTTAAAAATGAATGACTACTCGCTACAATACAATTTAAAAACAAGTTAATGAGAAATGCAGTGTGAACTATGTTATTACAGACGTCAACACACCGGTATTTTCTTCGCATCTTCCAAACATGTTGTTATACTACTGAAAAAGTACAGGGCACATTGGGCACTCATTATTATTTTTATTATTCATCGTTTGGAAACGGAATGGAACATAGGATTTCAGCAGTAGGTAGTCATTTCACTCTGTTCTTTGAAATCATCTTTAGTTGGCCCCACGATTGCCTATAGGCTTTCATTTCTACCTCACACCATCTCCTCTATTTCATCCTAGGATACATGCTTAACCCATCGTTTTCCTTTCAGGTTCTGCTCGATGACTAGTCTAACATGTGATGTCACTCAACGGCCTTCTCAGTGAATATCTAATCCATCTTCATTTTCTTCCTCATATTTCTTGGACAATAGGTTCTTCATGGGTTGGCCGCCTGTCAGAGTTCCCAGTTGCCAATCCTTTCTGGCTAGCCTACTGATCTTCACTATAAGGAGGATACATCAGTCTGTTGGAAATGCTTTCGGTGACATGTGCGCCAAGTTTCTCAGCCGTATAGAAGCACTGACTGAGTTGACATTAGTGTCTATGCTGAGCGCAGCAGATTTCCACACTGATTTCAGCCTAATGAGTGTCTATCTTGCTTTCCCAATCCAGGCTTTGATGTTCTCACCCATTCTTCCTGTAGTTGAAATTATGCTGCCTAGGTAAGTCAAACATAGGTAGAAATCGTTCATAATGGTGTTGAAAATTTTGAGATTATTCCTTTTACTGAGTGCTGTAGATCTCCAAACCGATTTTAGAGTAACGATTAATTGTCTTGCTTTCCAAGTGTTGGCTGGATTCAACATCCTCATCTGATCCGCCTGTAGTTGAAGCGATGCTGCTTAGGTGAGTGGAGGAGACGACTGCTTTTAGGTTTCTCCCGTTTATAGTGATTGGTACTTGTTGTTGTTGGTTATCCGGTATTTTCCTCACCTCTGTTATCTCAACATTTATGTTAGACATTTAGAAATACCTTTCAGTCATTTTATTTCTGAGTATTCTATCTTTAGGTAAGTGATAAATACAAAAATGAATAATTAATGGATGAAATAAAAAGTTTTTCCAGTCACATATGGCGTATAATACTGACAAGAATTTGTAAGTAGTATATCGGTGACGTCTTCTGCAAGAATCATGAGTAACGGAACGACAGATTAAGTTTCAAAGCGAAGAAGTGAAGATCATTGTGAATTCATATCGGAAGCATGCTATGAAGACAAAAGAAGGAGAATATGAAGAAGGTTTGTGCACTAAAATTCCATCGAAAGGTTTTTATATTTTGTCAAATAAACAGATGCCTCTTTGTTCTGCCGGTAAGACCTTTAGTTATATAGCCATAGTAAATTGCTTCCTTTTAGTAAGGAAACATTTACTAATCCTCTATTACCACAATACTTTATTTCCAAACTCTGCTGCCTTGTTTATTCAGGAAGCATATACCCTGGGAGGATTTTAATGGGTCTGACTGACTTCTAAGTAGTTTCTCTCATGTGTTGACATCTACCGAATAACCAGGATTCAATGAAGCCTCTTTTGCCTACATGTACTACTAATTTGAGATCCTTGTCTTTTTGTATTTTAACGTATGATGAATACAGAGTTTAGTGGAGTGAATGTAACTTCCAACACAATAAATCATATTTTACTGAAGATACATTCTATCCTTGCAAATTTCTGTGTAATTATGATAGAAAATATTTCCTTTAGAGAAAAGAAGAACGACTGATTTTTTTAAGATATACACTATAATTAAAGAGAAGAATACATAATGGCTAACAACAAAGTCAAAGGAATTTTCTGATTCATTGAGCATATACTCCTTAAGGGGAAAGAGGCTAGATAATTCAAAGAAAACCCCTCATCTATACAGAGAAATAATTATAGACAATGGAGAAGTGACTTGAATAGGAAATGTAAGCCGTTTAAAAAAAGAATAATATTTTTGTTTTCTATTAGAAATACAAAGTATGTTTAACTAGAAAGCATATTCAAGATTACTGCCGATTAAAATGTTATGCTCAATGATGTGTGACAAGTTAATTGATTAGTATTTGTATAAAAAACCAATCGAATCAGTGAATTGAAAAAATATCTCTTTAACTATAAGGGTTTTGAGTTGAAATATATGACGTCACACCATAGGAATTCATCAGTAATGAAAGAATATTCAACTAACAGCATATACCTTAGTGCGACAGTCAGGCTGGTGCAGTATAATGACTCAGCGCGTTATGCCGGGTGTTATAAGTGTTTCTAAACGTCCTACTATACTAGAACTACTGGTTGTATAGCAGTTAGACTAAAAGCAGTCACCATCACAGTGTGAGTTACTTAAATCATAATGGGAATGTGAAGGCGAGATGGTACTTCAGAAGGACAGGTGTAACAGCAGTAAGGTTTTTCCCTTAGATAACAAGCAAGATAGATGTGCTTATTTGGAGATTTGAGATGGAGTTAGAGAAAGACTGGCACCATAATAGTATGCTCCAACTCACTTGACGACGTTAAGATATTCTGTACACATACATGTCCAAAAATCCATATATAAATACGGTATGTATAATTTGAGATCACAAATACCTTTTTTGTCTGACGTAATCCAAACCGGGAAAACCAATTTTCCGCATGCTTCTCTCAGCATATAAAGCTTTTCTTTTCATTATTCACTGCCTCCACATTTACCTTCTTGAATTCATTAAACTTCGCCGTCTGCCACTGCTAATACCATTACTCATACAGAATCTTCGCCTTCTATTAATTATGTAACCACTGGTAGTAAATTGAAATACAGAAGCATTGTTCGAGTTTCTTGAAAACACTCTGCTGACTACATATTGAGTCTTTCAACCTTCTATTGACTTGGAGAAAAGGTCTCACCAACCAAGTTTCTGATACTTTGGGCTTTGAATGTATGTTATATTTCCGGGACACACACACACACACAAACACACAGAAGACTCAAGTGTAATTATTCATGTAATCCAAACTGGAAAACACGGTAAAGTTGGAAAAATATACCCTATGGGTGTCGAAAGTTTCACTGACAGATTTTCTTTTAGTTGTTAGTGTGCATTTAGTACTACACTGTACTCCGCAAACTGAAACCAACAAACAACCGTCTATGTACTGTGGAGTTAAATACCTGCCACGTGACATGTATAACAATGATACAGTGAGAATATATTATTATAAGACGCATTTTATTGTTTTATGAGGGAATTGACTTCAAGCTTTATTTATTTTCCCAAGTATCTGTAATCCATCCAACGCATACTTGGGTTTTTTTGTTAATGCGAAGTCAATATCTCAATATTTCTTGATGTGTTCCATTTAATCCCTAGTTATCTGATTTTTCCCACAAACTAAAGATAAAAGGACAGCAACCATGTTATTTAACCGTAAATCATGTAATTTAAATATGTCACTTAAATAATACTTATCCATGCCTATACAACTTGTGTGTCCTACATTTGTAGGAATAAATATGTACCTTATTATATTATCATTACTAACTATACTTACTAATTGTGTGTGTAATTTATCGAATTGATGATGCCTGTAAACTGGCGTCGCTCATGTACAAACATGAGAATATATTATTATTATTAACCTATGCATACACTTGACTAATACAAATGCAAAATATTCAGAAGGTTGGAATAAGTTATCAATATTGATAACAAAATTGTAATTTTACTGATAACGCAGACCCTTATCCACAATAATATGATCCTTTAACTATCCATCTTCGCTAAATGTTTCTCATTTGCTTTGGGTTCCAGGTGGGACATATGGCTTCAAGCTTTAGAGCTGCAGTTTTTCATCTTACGGCGTGGAGTTGCTAATGTTACACCCCGCCGTCTTTACCGGGTTAGAAACCAGATACGTATGGTTTATGAGTGTCAGCTTGGGAGTCGGACCCAGACCCAGAGACAATATTTTGCTAAAAAAACACTGATTTCACTCCGATCACTAAAGTTAAACATCCTTAGGTATAGCTAATTAGTTAATATATGTGTGAAACTTGGACACTGTGGTAGTAAGTAATTCCATATTAGTTTGTTTATTAGATGTATCACACAGTGAAACAGTATTATTTAATGGACACAATTCATTGTTCATAATCATTTCATCAATTATTATCACACGACTTCGAAACTTGAGTTTTATAGTATTCTTCGTTCTCTCCTATTTGTCGTAGGGGTAGTAGAATTTTCCAAATATCTGGAACAGGTGCAGTCAGATCAGCCGAGCATAAAAACCTAGCAAAATCTAGATTAGTTGATCCGAATAAGATAAGAAATCTAGAGAATAGTTCAGTCATAGCACTACATGCAATTGCACACAACCATTCAATAGGATGGGATAAGATGACAGTCTTAAGATATAATGTAACAGGATGGAGGGAGAGATTGATAACAGAAGCTTTGTCTATCGAATCAACTGCAAATACGTGTAATAGGAATGATTCAACACCTGTCCGAGATATCTGAAAAATTCTACTACGCCAACGATGACAAAGAAAACTATAAAACTCAAGTTCCGAAGTCGTGTGATTACAATTGATGAAATGATTATGAACAATAAATTTTGTTCGAAACGTCATCCAGTAAATAATACTGTTTCACTGTGTGATATATCTAATAAACAAACTAATATGGAGATAATTAGTTAGCCTACACTTTCTCCTAAAAACTAAGAGAATCCTTTGAACACCATCCTTCACCGGTCCAAACATAAAAAGGTAGTGAAATGCATCAAAGAAGTAAAAAAAAACTCACCAATTCCATTTGAAACCACTTTTTCCATACAATGTGGACGAACTATCATAAAGACCATTATTATTATTGTTATTGTTAAATGTTGATGATGGATATGGAATGAGTGAAGTAAATGAAAGACGAAATAACTCCAAATGATCACTACCTCCACCAACAATACCACCAGCAGTCAGTGGATGTTTTTGAGCAAGTAGTTTAGTTAATAAATGTGATTTTTTACGCATTGATGCTGTTCTATTTTATTATTACTATGATCACCATCATCACAGTATGGATTAACTTTTAGACTAGATGAATTGTATTCAGATGAAAACCTTAAGAGGAGTAGAGGGGAAAAGAGAAAAAGGAAACGAAAAAAAATGAAAACACAAAAGTAATCCCAATAAAAAGGATTAGAAAAAAATTAGTAAAAAAATAAAAATTGATGTAAAGAATAAAAAAGAGTATTATTCAAACAATGACTGACCTCAAAAATGAAAACTATCAATTTTTTTCGGCATTGGAACAATTGTGTCAATTTAAAATGACACATGATTAGAATCACTTCTATTTTGCTGTCAACTCTAATATCTCTTTTTTTATATTTTGTATGTGTCATAAAGAATTAGAGGAAAATTTAAACATTTTTGGGGAATATAGATTTGATTAAGGAAGCGTGTTTCTAAAAATTGTTACATTACATTTTGTAGAAGTCAAAAACAATAGTGTGATTTTAGGAATGTATGAAAGGGGAAGCAGTTAGCCAACGAAATGTACACATCAACAGAAAAGAAGTATGACATTTATAGAGGTTTGTTTTGAGGGTTATTTGTAAATTTACTGTACTTGGCAACAACAGTGAACAGAAAGGACTGAGAAATTAATATCCCACACTATCTAAATGCTTATATGACAGGGACTTCAAGTACTTTGACTAGCGGTGGAATCCATGATGTGTACTTCATCTTATTTGGGACTGGTCAGCCGGGTGTACCTTCATTTTGAGTGAGTGACAGTATTCACTTTGACTAGAACCCTGCACTCATTGTTCCAAACGCTAAAGGATTATCCGTGGAAGCCACATCTTGTTCGAGTCACAACGGAGACACCATCACTCACTGAGAATACAATTCTACTCCACTGAAAAGTCCAAAATGGGGCAGAATGAGCATCCTGGAATCCAGTGCTAGTCAGCAACAAACAAGATAACAGTACGTCAACAATTAAACATCGTCAAAGCATCCGTACTAGGAGCCACCCGGTGGACAGAGACTTAGGATTTCGGTCCAACATAATCAATCAACGAGGAGTGTAAATTAACCTACAAACTTCAGACACTTTATTCACTGCGAGAAAACTAGACCGAAGACTCATTTTAAACTGAAAGATACTGAGAAGTTTTTATGTTTCCTCATGTAAGTCTCAATTTCAAAACAGCATCAAATTTAATATATTGAAATCTAGGGAACAAAATTACATAAAGCTCAATTATAATGCAAAGAGTATGCTGATCAACAAATAAATCATTATTCCCATAAATCATTTTCCTGAATGACAGACAACCTATTATAATCTGATGATCGATTCCGGAAGAATTTTTTGAAATGTTGATGTCAACTTGTCGCCTTAACGATTTATTACCCTAAAAGTTACCTATGAATATCATCTAGGAGCACTGGACAATGTACTCAATGGAGACAAATTTATACTGAAAGTTAATTTATGTAATATTAACAGTTTCATTCAGTAGTCCTTCTAGCTGTCTCCACGATCGATCATAAGCTTTCATTTCCCAGTGACACAATCTCCTCCATGTCAATCTCGGACCAAGCCCAAGCCCAACCCACCAACACCCATTCAGGTTCCACTTTAGGGCTTGGTATGTGATGTAACTCCGTAAAAACCTCAGCGTATGTAGAGTCCATCTCAATTTCTTTCCACATAAACGTTGGACAATAAGTTCTTGGTTCGTCATTTGTCAGATTCCCTTGTTGTCAATCCTTTCTGGTCATTTGATCTAGAGTATTCAGCGAAAGCAGCAGACTTGAAGAATACTTACCATAACAAGTCAAGTCTCTGAACCACATAGAGGAACTGCCTTGACATAGGTGTTAAAAATCCTAATCTTGTTCCTTATGCCAAACGAAGTAGATTTTCATAATGATTTCTAGTAAATATTGAAGGTCTCTTTGATTTGTCCGATCCTGACCGCCTTTGACATCGGCATCTGTGCCTTCTGTAGTCGAAACAATGCTGCTTAAACAAGTGGAAGAGATGACTTCCTATAGATTTCTCCCTTTGATGACGACTGATACTTTTTTCATAAATAACAAACTAAATAACTTAAATCGTCTACTTCTTAATATTTAGGACAATTTCACTGTCGAATTTTGTCTTTCTATTGTTGTAATCTCTCTTATTTTGTTCAGACTTACAAACGTTGATAGAGGGTGAATTGAAAATCTGTATCACGCCAGGATTCAAATTAGAGGCCTTCAAATTACTAGAATGCGTACCATGAAAAGCATCTGATTCAATCAAGAAGAAGATTAATCTAATTTAATGGGATTTATACAAATATGAAAACAATTCCTTCAAAATATTATCCATGGGTGAATAATATTTCTTTAATTGGTGGATGGTGACTAGCAGTGGAATCCAGGATAACGCGCATTTCGTCCTATTTGGGACTCGTCATCATGGATGTACCTGCATTCCCCAGTCAGTGAGTGATGATGTTCCCACCGAGGGTCGAATCCAGTGCCCATAGTTTCAAACGCCAAAACGTTATCCACTAGAACACTTGGGTCACGACAGCCACCTCTTGTGCAACGGGTCACATCAATTATTTAATTGAATTTTAGATTTTCCCGTCGACTGATTGAACCGAAGTGCTCGGTCTCAGGTTGACATGCCGGCTTCTTGTGCAGATGCTTCGACGATGCTAGTCACCATCCACCAATTAAATTCTAATTACATGCCCAGACATCGTCGAAGCATCTGCACAAGAAGCCGACATATCAACCTGAGACCGAGCACTTCGGTCCAATCAGTCGACGGGAAAATCTATAATTCAATTGAATAATATTTCTAATGTTTAATTTAAATTGTGACAGTTTAGAGAGAACAGCATATGCATTGCTTGTTCAGTGGTAGAAGGCTTGCTAATCATTCAGCTGGTCTGGGTTCGATTCCTGGCTAACTCAGACTTCCGGGATGGGCCCTGGGACTCTAAGAATCAATGGCTGGAGAAAATAGGTGACATACCTCAAAATCGTTGTCAATGGCGCAGATGTATTCAGTTTCTGTAATCTTTCATATTCCTTTCTACCACTACTGATTCTGTTTCACTCTTATACTTGTCAAAACTCTATTGATTCTCTTCACTCATTTTCTTGTCTACCTTTGTGTGCTATTTGGAACGTGGCAACTCGAACTGGTGCACTTCGGTGCCAAGTTCTATGTTGAATTCAGCCAGCCAACCAGCCACTCCTAAGCCTCAACTAGCTAAACTATCCGGTAGCAGGCCTAGAAAACAGGGAGAGTAAGGCGTGTGACTAGCAACGCCATCCCTTAAAAATCACAACACAAACGCTACTGAAACTTCAAGTCTTTCTAGCCTTATGTCCCACTCAGAACTTGAAGAATGAAAAAACGTCAATGAGATTACTGCTAGATTAAAAGAGGAATTTAAAAATGCATATCATGAGAAGTTTTACAGACTTTATGTACACCACTCACAGTGAAGTGAGCGCTAACGAATTTTTGTCTAGAAGGAAAATGACAACTCAGAGAACACAATAATATCCACCTGAGCTACAAACCTTTTCCATTATTCTTTAAAAAAACAACAACAACTTCATATGCACTTATTTTTTAAACAATGAAGGGATGAAATAAAAAATTATATTAAGTTTTTCTTTTCGGAATTCCCCATAGAATTAAACATGACACCTTGTAGCTGATAAGTTATATAATTAAAAATCGAGGAAACAAGTCGAATTTAACGAAAGACGAAACTTTTTTTACCAAATATGAAAAAAAAGATACATCGATGAGAAAAAAGGATTTTGATACAAATGACTTGTATGTTTTTCGAAAGGATTCTGCTCACAATATAATATCGATTTGTATGGGGTATACTCAGTTATCAGAAAAGTCGTGCTACTTTTCTTTAGATATACTCTGAATTATTGTTAATTGGTTGGAGGCAAACAGCAAGAAACCTTAAACCCAAGTTTCGGGCTTGGTGGCACCGGCCAGCAAGGATTTCGGCAGTTTTGGGGAAAGCAATGTTCTTTCTGGGATTCAAACCCAGCGCTGAAGCCAAAGACATTACCACTGAGCTATTTTGGGCTCACGATAGACTTTCTATAGCACTGTAATGGATACTTTGATTGGACACTAGGTAGTGACTAATGTCGTGCACCTAGTCCTTCGTTTGGTGCAAGCGTGACTGACAGAATTCAGTCTGCATCAAAACGAAAGACTAGATGCATCATATTAGTTACCACTAAGTGTCTAATCAAAACATTTAACTATCTGAAGTGTATGCAAAACTTTCTTCAAATTTATTTAGCTTTAGGGAGATATAAATATTATTATAGCTAAGATTAGTAATTATGATGTTTTACCAGTAGGTATTCTTGAGTGCACGTATCATGGTGTACTGGTTTTTGTTACAGTACATCATAAACTAAGTAGAATAAATGACCATTTTATTGTGAAATGAACAGGTTTCATAGTCTTCTCAGTTGATATTCATTGTGATTCACTTGGTAAACACTTGCTTGTAATGCTTCTATTTGAGTTTAGTCTTTTACATAATGGAACATCAGAATAATTGAACACATATTCTTCTGGACAAGTAGGAAAGACGGTTTCTTTGGTACGAACGGACTTAAAGCTTTGGTTTAGTTTCATTATAACATCATCTGTTCTTTTCTTCTTCGTTATAATGAAACTAAACCAAAGCCTTAAGTCCGTTCGTTACCAAAGAAACCGTCTTTCCTACTTGTCCAGAAAAATACGTGTTCAGTTATTCTGATGTTCCACTATCTCCAATTCAAATGCAAATCTTAGCACTTGGATCTAAATCTTTTACATAAGATAAATCATTCTCAACTTAGTAAACGATTGTGTCAAGTATGTTCAGTTGACCCTTATTAACCTCCAATGTTTATTAATTCTGGTGGGAAATGACGGATTGGGCACAGGTCCGACGGTGATATGGAGGAGATAAGAGCTTATGCACTATTATAGAGCCAGGTAAATAGGATTGCAGACAACAGGATGAAATGGAGTTACACTATCCAAGCTCTGCATTACATTCCCAACCCAAAGAAATAATAAAATAATGGGATGCAATTTCACGCACATATAACATTATAATAAGCAATTCATAAGTAAAAATCTTAAAATATTCTGCAAGAACTGTATGTGTACAGTGTATCGATCTGCGTAGTTGATGAGTATTCTACCACCGCACCACTGACTCATTAATCTTACTTACTTACACTAAAAAATAACAAACAAACGACAAACAAAAAATTTACTGGGCAGAAAACCAGCAACTTTGTAATGTCTTACTTTAAATGTTCAGGATCCGACTCCATAAGCTGTTTTTGTGTACGTCCCGTATAACTGAAAATAATAATTTTAAAAAATTGTTACCAAAAGAGGATGAATAAGACAGTTTTTATTCACTTAAAGTAATTGAAAGTTTATAAAAAAAGCGGTACAAGCATCTGTTGTTTTTACCATAACAAAATAATACTTTTCAAAAGTTTGTTTGCATGGAATTTGATGATAATCTCAATTCAGCTAAAGAACTATTGAACACCAAGGAGTACTGCTTAGCTGTTTCGTCTAATTTTGCGATTCTTTAGCAGCACACGTCTATGACTACACTAGAGATCGCACCCAGGCCTTTCAGTTTATGAGCCCAGCCCGTTGGTCATTTAATCACTGTGACAGAATCCAGTGGCCCAATAGTTTTAACTTATGTCATTTAGTGAAATATAGCGTGACCACTGGCCAGTGTCATCGGTGAAAATCTGTCCTCAAGTTCAACTTGGTGAACCACACTGGTTTTCAGTAGTTCTCTAACTGAAATTAGTCAAATCTCTGCATACCAAAGTTTGAAAATTAATTTAGTGCTGTCTAGTAACTGACTGCACGATGAAGTTACCTGAAGTTCTAGTAAGAAGTTATGACCATTAAGGTCCACCAATTTGGACTTGAGGACAGATTTTTACCGCTGACATTGGCCGATGGTCACGCCATATGGTGAGAATTGACAGAAGTTAGAACATTCTTGGATTGGACACTGGTGTAATGCGTCTAGTCCTTTGTTTGGTGCAGACTGAATTCTGTCAGTCAAGTGTGCAATGTGGCCACCATGTTAGGTGGCTCGCCATCACGGTGCACTTTGATTTGTGGATATTAGATGGTTGGAGGCAATCAGCAGGAATCCTTGAACATAGATTTTGTGCTAGTTGGCACTCACCAGTCAGCAAGGCATATCTGCGACCCTGAAGGAATTCATGTCCTTTCTGAGATTCGAACCCGTGTCACCCAGTGATGCAGTCAGAGATGTTACCACTGGGCAATTCAGACTCGCAATCGATCTCCTGTAGGACATTGGATGCTATCATAGTGGTTGAGTGGTCTACGAGCTCGCGACGTACCCTGAGGATTGTAGGTTCGATCCCTAATGGTGGGTTCATGGGTGCGTGCTGTAGAAGAATCCCAAAATAAGACGAAACAGTCGTCCAGTACTGCTTGGTTCCCAATGATTCTGTAACCAAAGTCAGCCCGTGATCAAACTAGAATAATACTTTTTATGCCTTCAGAAAGGAAATTCATCGACGTGGCCCTTATCTTGAAGACTGTCATCTCAGTGGGGGTCCACTTATTAGATGAAATAAATTAATCACTGAAGAAATAAAGATGATTTCTATCAAGTAACATATGCACAGACATTTTACAAAACTGATTTTTCGTTGAATGTCCTTCACGAAAAAAACAAAAGAATAAGCGTAATACTTCCAATCGTTTAAATGTTAAAATGCCATATCTTGCAAATAAGAAGTGTATCAGTTCAATTTGACATTTTACAATATAAAATCAAAATGAAAGGTGAGGAAAAATTAGGATAATGTTATGATTGACAAAAACATTTCCACACGTTCTCTTTATAATGACGTAAATAACCCAGTATATGTTGCCTAAAAATTCTTTTTTTTTCCAGATGATTTTCGCCAACTTGACAGCGGTGTAATTCAGCAGAGATTTTGAGATCAGCCAGGCCATAAAACTCTAGGAAACATGTGTACGAATAATATTTTCCTGATGTTACACCAGTTGTGACTGATAATGAAATGGAAGTCTGGTTGGGTGTGGGGTGCGAGATACAGCTAGAGATCAGGTCACCGTTTCACTGCAGTTACTATGGGTGTTGTCCAGCTGCCATATGAATAAATGGTAAGGACTAGTAATTCTGTAGCCACTAGTTTAAATCCTGCCACAAAGAAGATTTTTAACTCACCTTCAGCCATCATCGATTACTTCAATATCAGTACAGTGGTGAGTATCTCTGCCTTTCACGTGGAACGTCCTGTTTTGATTCGCAGTAGTGGAGCTGGCTTTTATGGATAGTGGAACGCTAGCCAACGATGCATTTGGTCTGGGTTCGATTCCAGGTTGACGCACTCTTAAACCTCGCTTTGTTTACCAGCTAGTAGTAAGCCCGGAATAGACAGAAGGTTGGGGGTGAGCCTAGTGATTCCACCCAGTAAAGTGAGGCAACACTACTGCTACTGAAACTTTACTGCTTGGAGCTTTACGTTCCACACGGAGTGAACAAAGACTCAAAACTATCTCGGATAATCCCTCCGTCGATACTTCGTTCGGTGAAATGATCAAATTAAGGTTAGATAGTTGTTTACTCTAAGTGATGTAATTGATAGTATGTTAATTTAACTCGCATGCAAACAATATTTCGTGTCTACATAAATACTCACTTTACTATTCAGTGGAATTCAACTTAATAGTTTTTAAGATATAAGGATGAAATTGGATTACATCACTTTAATTTACTTATCTCCTAGGTGGTAGCAAAGACAGCTTGCTAGGTGGAGTGAACATACTCAAAGTAGATTTCTATATGTCAGACAAGTTCGATGTTCAAAAAGTTTATTAGACAAACCTTTTTAACTTTTTTCAAACAAGGCAATTGAAAATATCTGTCTACGTTTGACAAAAAATAAGAACAATATGAGAGTGAAGTCTGGAACCCACAATGTTTCTTATAAATTAAAATCCGTGTGCATTTTAGTGAAGCACTAGTAAAAGTCACTGAACTGCAAAGCAGCTGAGGAAAGAAGTCAACTGTAAATATATTCAAAATTAGTTTTTATAAAAACTGTGTACGCCAATATTTGGCAAGGAATTTACTGAAACCTAAAATTAGTTAGATTCCATAGCTACTGAAAAGTCCCAAAATTATAATTCATCGAAGTAATGACGTAGTTAAAGGATGTGAGCAATGGATCCGATAGACATTATGTGAGGAATGCAATCTTTCAAGTATGATCACGAGCCAAATTCAGTTGCAAAATCATTGAAGAATAGGGATTACCGGACAGCTAGCTGTTTCGTCCTTGTTCGAGGCTCTTCATCAGTAGGCAAACATGATCCCACTAGGGACTGATCCCTTCTCAATTCGTGATTACACCTGGAATCAATCAGATCCCTACAAATAAACGCATTATCAGCTATCAAATGAATGAATAAACAAATGTAAAAAAGTCCTTAAAAGTTTATCGTTCACAAATATAAGACAGATTTCAAGACAAACTGTTAACTCACTGAAAACTTGAGCCAGTAAGATTTAGATGAGCAAATCGTTTAACCGGTGTACTAAGATGTGAAGTTTGTGAACTTTTTCTATTTGACGTTTCAGAATTCTCTTCATCATTACGTTTATATGTTCCTCGTGAGTTAGATAAACTGTTAGCACCACAGCTAGCAGATCTGCGTAGTTTTGTAAATGGGAATGTGAAAAGATTTCCAGGTGATGAATGAGAAAGTACACTGGAACCACGATGAATTGCACCTGCCTGTCTAGTATCGTATGGAGACATTGAACGAAAAAATGTATGCTGTTCAATACATTTTTTCCAAAAGTTTTTACAACTATTACGAGTAGGAAATGAAAATTCAATAGTATCATTTCCGTAACCCTGAAAGAAGAAGAATATAAACATAGATTATGCAATACAAAATATATTAGAGTGATACAAGATATAGTAAACTTTCTATTCAGTTTACGATTAGTTGTAATTCACAAAAAAGTTTAAATTAATGCAATTTCACAGGCTTTTCACAATCATCACTTAATAATATTTCAAATATCCACTGTGATCAAAATGAGTAGGAGTTTAGAAATATTGGTGATGGGGTGTACATCATTTCGGCGTATCATAGTCCAACGAACGTCCTGAGTTTCAACCCATCAGTTAACACAGACGAGCTTAATCAGATAATCAGGTGTTCTAAAGCTGCTGCATGAATTTTAAGCAGTCAAGTAGTATGTCACCATCTGAGAATAGATGAACACATCCGTGATCACTAATTCACGATGTACAATGTACAAGGAAGTATGATAATGGAAAAGCCACAAGAAATTGATCAAGAACTTCACTGGGTCCTTAAAACGTTTGGTAGAATTCTAGCATTAATCATTAACTGACAGTTTTCATCCAATAAATCAAGCCTACGTTTTATACAAATGATAAAGATGACGTATATACTTATAAATTGTAATATTCACACAGCTTTTCTAAAAGTGATTCAGTTATATGGCACTCCCATTGATCCTTAAAGATATCTAACCCTTCATATACTCTGGCAGCATTCTCGTGACATTTTATTGCTTGATCTGTCAAGGGCATTGGGATAGTATGCAATCTAATAGTTGTTTGCCAGGTCCGAAGAGGGTCGCGGGCTATATGCATTTGCCCCTTTCTGATAATGATTGTGCTTCCATGGTTCAACGGTATAATGCTCACCAGCCAAGCGAGTGGTCAGGTTTCGATTCCCGACCAACGTAATCCTTTACCTCACTTAGCCGGTGGAAATCCCATCCCCCTAAAGAACAAAATCACACCACCGCTACTGAATCTTCGAAGCTTACGCTTGAAGCCCTATGTTGCACTCGGAAAGCAAAGGAATGAAAAAGCATCAATCCTCAAGCCGATTTCTTCAGCTGCAATGTGACAATAGAACGAATAAGATTCATTACTTCTTACATGAAACGTATGGGATTGATCCGTTCACCTTACAGATGAAAGAGCCTATCAACTATTGCTTTTCAGATGTCCTATAATTATTTGCATAAACAACTTAAAATAATTATGGAATATGATTAAAATATACAGCATTTCGTGTAAAGGTAATTACATTTTTGGATCTGTGAAGATATAGTTGCTTAGTTAAGTTACTCATGAATACTAGATTGATATTGACAGGTGATGCCAGGAATTCCAGCATTAAATTTATGACTGACATTGTTAGCATAGTTTAATAGGGGTCGCATTATACTGCAGATAGGCCTTGCTGACGAGTGTCAACAAGCAAGAAACCCAGGACCAAAGTTTCCTGCCGACCGCCTCCAACCATGTAACATACTGAGAACTCAAAAAGTTAGAAAATATGAACAACTAGGTCCAATCTGGTAGTAGAATATTCCGTTAACTGTCTCCATCATTTCTAAGCAAAATATTTTGCTTTCATAAATAAGATTTTCCTAATAATTTTATAGTCATAATTTGAAGTTTCAATTGAGGCTCATCTCCTCTTCTTACTGAACTATGAAACAAGTTGTAACGCATGATCGAACAGCATAGTTATGGAATGAATTGTCATTGTGGTTCATTCTCTCTTGGCTTTTCAGTGACTCAGTGCAAGACGAAGTTGCTTGGTGTCCTAGTGAGAAGTGGTGACCACTGGGGTCGACTAGGTCGAGTGAGAATAAATAACCGGCGATGAAATTCACTGGCAGGGGCGCTAAAAGTCACGAACTGACAGAAGTTAGAATTCATGGACCATCGGAGTGTGTTCCAGTGGTTGAATGGTGAATGAGCTTGCCAGGTAAACTTAAGGTCCTGGGTCCGATCCCCGCAGGGGTAGTCGCAACTGCCCACCACTGAAGAGTCCCTAGCAAGGATGAAACAGCATTTCTGTACTCCCTGGTTTCCACTGGTTGCCTAACTAATATAAAGCCGTGGTGAAACTAAGTAACACTTGAAAACAAAATTAAGACACTGACAAGTCAACTTTTCACATATATACACACACACACTGACTTACATACGCTTCCATATGAAGCTTAAGTAGTAATTTCCGTCGTTTAAAACTAAGTTTACGTATCATTGACCAATTGAAGGTATTTACACGAGAGAACTTTTCAAATATCATTATGCCAATATGATTAACTCCCATATTCACTGGTCTATCTTCCATACTCTGAAATAAAATTAAACAGATCACATTTTATCATCTCTATATTATTATCATTATTATCAAACAATAGATTATACTATTAGCTAGAAAGTGTTGAAAACCAATTACCGTTTCTTATCTCAATTTTTTGTACAATTGACAATAATGAGCACAAAGGGAGCAATTACAGAATTAATTATTTTCATTGTTAAATCTAATATAAGCATTGTTGAATGTATTACACTTAACTGAAGACACATATCGATGGATATATCTATAATATAAATTGAGGGAACGATTTCAATAAAAACCGGCAAAAAACAAAATCAAAGTAACTGTCAAATCGAATATTCTAAAAGTAAATTCCAATAGTGTTGTGTCACCTAATAATGACCCTTATTACACAATCGAAACATACAGTAGAATCATTATCTAAGAGCTACAAAAAGTCAATAGATTTCTGATTGATATTATGCATAATGATTCTTACTATGCATAAATTTCCCTATATATAAATATATATACATACATCTGTTGAAGGCAGATAGTTTTCAAAGTAACACTAAAATGTTAGGAGCCTGTCATTATTACGTACTGGATAGAGTTTTGGTCACTTTTGAGTACTTATTAAACAAGGCATATTAAGAGTCATGAATTAGCATACATTCTCCTGTATATTTGTATTAAAATTATTCAACATTGCAATTAAAAGCTTTTTTATTAAGCTTTCTGGGCTGGGAATGACCTTACTAAGGAATTTTTAGGATATAAAGTAGTTTGGCGGCCTGCTTAAAAGTTGGACTACCGCAAAATCTTCATCAATATATTGCATATAGTTTCTCTTATTCAGTTTGTTTAAATGTAGTAAAATATGACCTCTAGTAGTATTGTTTACTCTGGCGAGTATTTAAAATATTTACAACCTGAGGTTTCACAAGTTTCTACTAAATTTGAGAAAAAGCATTATCCTGAAGGGCAGTTTATCACATTACATGAAATGAATGTTCCTGGGTTGTGTCTTTGGTCCACAAAATGTACTCCTGAACTTTTTAATAATTGGCATTCAACAAAATGTCGTGTACTTATCTAGGGAGAAAAAGAAGAGACATCACAATGGATTGGTCGGCCCTTCAGGTCAGATAGAACTGTATCACACAATCTACTGTCAATTAATCTTTTATTTCAAGATCTTGAACGAAGAGAAAACACCGTGCAATAAAGTCTGCTGAAAATTATGTACATTGTATAAACGTGGTTCAGAATGAAGCTATTATTATTATTATCGGAAAAAATTTCACCCAAACTCTATCATTTCATCTTTTAATTTAATGTTCATCTAACACAACTGAATATGGAAATTGTCAAGAGGAAAGCTTTTGAATTTTGTTCTCAAGACACAGTAGTGACACGAAATATATGCTGGTAGAGAATATTTTCCAACTACCTAGTTTTATAGCAGTACGTTTATCTAGTGGAAAGAACATAGATGAGTGTTGGTCTTTCAGTAGTGATTTAAAAATCTTTTTATTTCATATTGTTTTACAGTTTCACCTAGACAGTAAGGTTAATGACGGGTTTATTTTCTATGCCAATACCAAAATATTAGATTAGTAAACTCAAATATTCTAAACGATTTCATGATTTCACTTTTCCTAAGCTACAGATCACTGTATTATCTTGGTGACAGGTTTTCAGGTACACAGTTCAGGAAATCAGGTATAAGCAAAAATAAAATACGTAACAATGGTAGTCTCAAAATGTTTTCAGGTCAGTATATGATATTTCGAACAACCATACAACCATTTAACCTTAAACATATGTTTAAGAGTTTAAAAAATGTTCTAAAGATCCAGGTCAAAATCCAAACAAATGGCAGATATTATTTAATTCACTTTGAACTGTCTTATTGTTTGATTGAACTGAAATGCTCGGCGTCTATAACATACCAGCTCCTTGTGCAGATGCTTCCATAATGTCTGAAGTAATTTGATGGATGGTGACTAGCAGTAGGATTCAGGATGCGCATTTCGTTCTATTTGGGACTCGTGATCCGGATGTGCCTGCATTCCTCAGTGAGTGATAGTGTTCACAGACATCGTCGAAGCATTCGCACAAGGCACCAACATGTCAACAAGGGTGGAACACTTCGGTCCAATTAATCAATCAGAAAGTCTAAGCTGAACTAAACAATAACTGATACCCGGTTGCACAAGAAGTGGCTCTCGTGGCGCAAGTGGACTTGTGAGTAACACTTTGGCGTTTGAAACTACGGGTACTGGGTTCGAGCCTCAGTGGGAACACCATCACTGACTCACTGGGGAATGCAGTTACACTCAGCAGATGACGAGTTCCGAATAGGACGAAATCAGCACTCTGGTTTCTACTGATAGTCACGATCTACCAAATAGCAATAATGTCGGACAAACCAGATGTACTGTGGCCTTCGCATTTTAAAGCCATTCAATTTGAAAATATATTAGTTATAAATACAAGTAAATTTTAGCATTATGCGTTAAGTTATCATAAATTTAGATTAACTATACCTGCTGTGGTTTAATTACTTTGTTATAACATAGGAATTAACAAGCGCCTTAGCAATAAAAGCATATTGATGAATCTTTTAAATAGCATTTTCATGGGTAACTGGATGTCATGCCTGCATCAAAGATGATATCAGCTGAAATTTCATCAGAAGCTTATTGATAAGTGATGATATAACTCCCAGAATAAGTCTTTTTCATTTAGTGTGCTTTTTTGAAGTGCAACAAATTGAAACGATGCATTTCTGTAATATGATCTACTTTTATTTGTTGGTCATGAACAGCCTACGTTTAAAAATACACTGATTCCTGATTCAGACTATAACTAGTGTAACTGCAATGGTGCTCTTCAAAGTCACTGTTGAAAGCAAAGTATATGATTAATAGCAATACTTCCAAGAACTAACTGATTGACTCAGTTTCAACATAGAACACAGTGCAGAAGTGCAGCAGTTCAAATTGTCAGTGGTAGAGAAAGGAGAGAAAAAAGAGATCAAAATAAGCGTAATGAGCAGAAATGTACGGGAGAAAGAATAGTAAAACTGAAAAATACAAATTGTGAATGAGTCTAAGCCATATCACCAACAGCCTCCAACAGTTGGCTCTTAGCATCCCAAGTCCCCCTCCCCAACCAGGCGGTCTATACTTCTCTATGTGGCTAGCTCAAACCATCTGTCAAAGACTTTATGAGATAGTGCCAGGTTTCGGTTTGACTACCTCTAACTCTCTTCCAACCTAATTTTACGTCAGTTAACATTGCCTGTGAGGAAGATGGTGGCTTGGTATACGCAAAACGTGTCCTAACCATCCTAGTCAATGTACCTTCATAACCTCATCGATTAACTTACCCTCCTTATCTAACATTCTACGTCTAAGTTCTTTAAAAAAAGCTTTATTGAACAGTAATCATAAAAAAATTAATTTACTTTAGCAGCATGCAAACGAATTCCATACAGCTCAACTTTTCGAGCAGCATCCAACAGACGATAATCAGCTTCTGATTTTGTGATTCCTCTAATTCAATATAAAAAAAGAAATGCGCATTGTCAGCATACTTTTTTAGGTGAACATAAGTAAAGCAATGAATCATCAATAAACAAGTCAGATAATTTTATCAATGAATTATAATTAAATTACTGATTGTCCTGTTCTGTAATAAACTTCAGTTCAAAAGAATACAAGATGTCATTTTAGGTTAAGATAGTTAGGATAGAAAAATAACCTAATGGAAAAGCAGCAACAGTATTTTTAAAAATTCCTTTACGTTTCCGGTGGAACAGAGAGCTGCAAGCTAGAGCTTTGAAGTTTCGGTAGCAGTGGTGTTTATTTTTTACGGGATGAGGTTGCTGGCTGAGCCTTCCCTCTTTATCGGTCTTATTACCGGTTTAACGAGGTAAAGGAGTGCGTCGGCTGGGGATCGAACCCCAGGACACATGCGTGGTCGGCGAGCATTCTACCTATAAGCCACCGAAGCAAAATTACGGGCCCAGCAGGGATATATAGTTAGGAATAATAAAGATAAGATGAGATTTAGATATATGCTATGCGATTACCAGACATTACATAGAAAATAGTTTGTCGATGCAAAAGCTAATCTCCATAAAAAAGCAACACGCATATTAACAACATATGAATAATCAGGTAAGTAAAGTACACCAATTTCTAAGCGTTGAAAAATTACAGGTTTACTTTTTTAAATGTAGCGAAACACACATAAAGGATTCGAGATTTTATTAAAATGGGATTATTGGTCACGCACGGACATTCTATTATCTAAGAACACTGCTTAGTTTTCGTATATTTTATGAAAATTTCACTCGTCTAAGACTACAGGAATTAGCAGAAGTTAGAATTCAAGAGCCATTAAATCCCATCCCAGTGGCTGAACAGATAACTACCATGCTGCGTAACCTGAAGTTCCTGAATCTGGCCCTGGGTAGGCTCATTAGTGTGCACTATTGAAGAGTTTTTAACTGGGAAAAAACAGTTATCCAGTACTCCCTTGTTTTCAATGGTTCTCTCACTGAAATCACTTGGTGATCAGTCTTGAGATAAATCAGCACTAGAAAGATGAAAACAGTCAATGCAGTGAAAATAACTTACATTAACGTTTGATGAAGTTCCATAAGACGCATTAAATAAGAATCAGGAGCTGTTCTGAACATATGATGTTTTTTCAAGTAGGCATAAGATCTACATTCTGTCTCTTGAAAATCACCCAATTGAGCTATTTAAGAAAAAGCAGAGAAAGGTAGTAATATGTGCATTTTGATAATTCAGTGCAGTATTTATTATTGTAAATTGAACGGAACTAAAGCCATTTTTATCTTAAAGGGGACATCAGTCAGAAAATCAATAAAACGGCATACACTATCGAATAGTAACTGCTTCTTAATCTGCCAATATTCACTAGTTGGGTCCAGCCTATCGCTTTTAAACCTTATGTTGAAATCAAACCACTAAGAGAAAACGTTGTATATCATGTCTATCAGTTTCTGTTAATTCACAATGAAGTTTAACTTGAATGATCTAACTTTTACTTATATACATGCATACAGCAAATAAGCATATTCTTAACCCGATGTCAGCTTATTCTTGAAGGGATTTAATTGATCACGAAGTAATTTCTGTACCAGATTTCAGTTACATGCTAAATGTAGATAACTTTTTGTCAGTTATCTAGTAATTAACTCTCGAAAGTAACTGCTAAAATTCCAAAGAATTGTGTAGTCGTTGACAGTTATCACAAAGACATGTTTCCAAGCCTAGAGAATACTCATGTTCTATTGAAAACATACTCTTTTTGATTACTGCTTGATTCCACACCGTATTTTTGGTACAGGTATGGAATTTTCAGCATATGATATTGGTAGCCCAAATTCTGCAGGCCAACCATAGATATCAGTTGTGCGTCGGCAGGGGATCGAACCCCGGACTATGTGTATGGTCGGTGAGAGTCCTAACCACTGTGCCACCGACGCACACTCTTATAACTCAATCAACCATATACGTTAAAGTGTACATCAATTCAAGTTTCGAGCAGTAACCAGCATCTCTACATTGTATAAGCAATCAAATAAAGAATAAGTTATTTGTTCTTAAAATGACATCACGCATCGCTTAACATAAAAACTGTAAACCGAGTTTGACTAATTCGACGATAATTTCTATGGTCATCACAATGAACGATTCATGCTGAAAGCAAGAAAGAGATTCACCTTCTTTGTGTTTAATGATAATTCCCGTGTTGAATGCGAACAAGCTTGCGATCTAGACTCACAACGTCCCGATAAGCGCTTCATGAAGATGATTTTGAGTTTTAGTGTTCAGCATACTAAGCGTCACTAGTAGCTTTCATCATCTTACAAGACAAAAATATAATTTTAATATCCAATTTGTTTTTATACTTATGTATGTATGTAAACTAAATCAAGTTATGTTATTTCATTGGCAGTGGTTAGCGTTGGAAACAAGGACAAAAGTTTCTTCTGTGACCCGTCAGCTGGATTTAACTGCAACATCATTGAATGATAGTACTCTCATCGACATTCGGATCAAACTGTCTATCGTTTCAAACAACGAAGCATTATTAAATAAGCTAGTGGGTGACAAGATACACTTCTGGTGTAACAGGATTCGTTTGTTGATTTTTGATATTTTTGCCGAAAAGCTACTATTCACTGTTGATGCAGGTAAATGTGGCTGATAAGTTCAAAATGGACTGGATATGCGCATCATGGATCCCACTACTAGCCGATACAAAAACAAGTGGCGTCAAGTTAACGCTAAGGTAACGTTGAAACGTTCATGCTACCGGCCGACAAGTTAACAGTCACTGAGCATTTCAGACCAAGAACATCAATCAGTAAGAAATTCAATGTAATAATTTTAACAAACAAATCATGTGGTATTTTATGCCAAATGTTCAAAGTTACTGAGATAATGATGTTGGATTTTGCATTATCTTTATCTTAATTAAAATTTAAACTTCAACCAAAAATATGGGAAACAGGTGCAGTCGAATTCAGCACAAAAAAACAAAACAATAAATTAGTGTCACATTCTACAATAATTAACTTACACTGTGCAATGAATGCTGCAAGCAGAAGACTCGTGTTACGGTTACTGTGTAGCAGACCTTGGAAAAAGTCATTTCTAATTTGCAGTGCATACAAATACCTAGAAAAGAAATCATAAAGTGGAATATATTCATGATCCATTTGAATACAACAAAAACTTTTTTATCAAGGTAACCAACAACCTACCGTGTTAGATCATCTTCTAAAAGGTTTGGATAAGGTGTAAAAAATTTAACAGCGAATAGGAACTCCAATGGCCTGGTACTTGAATTTCTTAAAACTTTCGTCAGTGGTTTGTTATTATCAATCCAACACTAAAATATACCATAAAAGAAAGTAGTAGTTGCACTTTTAACTATAAAAGGCGTATGTATAAAGAGATGAAAAGTAAATTTCATGAATTACTGACTGAGTTTCATAAATTTTCTAGGGCAAACAGTGCAAATTAGGACCATATTACTTAATTTAGTAATACTAACAAATTTTTAAAGTAAATACCAACTAAATGGTAATCAACTGGTACATGTTATTGGATTCCATATGAATAACGCAGTAACGAAGTCACTGGCTGTATCACTAGGTGATGCCTGAAGCAAGGTGTCCCTTAGATCTGAACATATGTATTACAAATGTGTCTGGACATCATTTCGCATCAAATGACTTTAACATCCAGCAAAAGGAAATAGATTTCGTTAACTATGGATGTTTTCTAAGTAATGACGCGTCCAAGAATAACGAGTGAAAATAAATAATAACGTTAGATTTTCAAGAGTTGATTTGTAAGGATTAGATTTGTTTTTACGAGTTTGACCACGGGTTGATATCAGTTATAGAACCATTGAAAACCAGCACTGCAGTACTGCATAGCTGTTTCATCCTAGTTTGCAAATCATCGGTAGTACGCACCCACTACATGAGGTTCGAACCCAGGACCTACCGGTTACAAGGCAAGCTCATATACCATTCAGCCACTGGGACCCGATTCACTGGCAAGCCCATGGATTCTAACTTCTACCAATTCGTGATTTAGCGCGGCCACCATTCAATGTCATCGGTGGGACATCCATCCTCACACTTGACTGGATGGACCACACTGGTCACAACTTGCCACTAGAACTCCAGGAAACTCCGTCCTGTAGCAAGTCACTAGCGAGCATCAGATTAATTTTCAAGAGTTGGTTTGTAAGGATTAGATTTGTTTTTTTACGATTCTGACCACGGACTGACATCAATTAGAGAACCATTAGAACATTAGAACAATTCATAAAATAAAAAATGCGACAGTGTTGTAATGTAGCCGACGATAACTATTAAACACATTTGTGATACCAGTAATGGTCCCAAGCTCTGTCATATACGATTTTCAGTTAGAAAATACTTAATTCTAGAGAAACTTAAAAATTCAATTCAGTGACATGTTTACAGTGAATATTATTGACACTACTCACATTCAAGTTAAAGTTACTTAAAAATCTTACAGTTACCTCATCATTACAGAGTACCAAAAAGCAATGTTTTCATGAAATAAAACTCACCCGATTGCCTTCGAAATCAATATAAAGTAATCCAAAGTACTCATACTCAAAAAAGCCAATTTTTTTAATAACCAAAGTAAATAACTCCTGACCCAAACAACGTTCCTATGTCAAACAAAACACAAGTAAGGGCAAAGCAAGTCAACTTTGTTATCTTAAATTTTAGTTGAGACAAATCACAATATAAATACGAATAAATGCAATCTAGTACTTTTATTAAGATCTCTACATATATAAATTACAATTCGCAAAACCCGTAGCTGCAATCCTGGTAAATTCATGACACTTGGTAGTAAATATCTATGAGGAATGAGAATTATACTCAGAATCACACTGGCCAAAATCACAGCTTTTGCTTATTGAAACAGAATCTACAAAAATAAAAATGTAATTAGTATGACTGAGAATATTACCAGAATTGAAGCCTACTTCTAACTACACTACGAATAGCTAGGTGAAAAAACTAAAGATATGTATTGTGAAATGTTGTTGTCATGCTGTTATTATGCAACGAAAGGAAATATTTATGACACAATGATATGTTAGTATTCCAACTAGTTTTCACACTCTTATAGGTAGATGCCCAGTAAGGCTATTGACAGAAACTTGCCCTTTTACAGTCGGAAGCATTTCTGATAAACGGATGAATGGCGGCTTCAGATATTTGTGATTACTAGGTAGTAATTAAAATAGATACAGAATTTCGTCGAGAAAAATTTTTTCGGCCTACATGAACCCATTCTGATTGTATAAATCTGAACACTGCAGCAGTAAATTTAGGAAATTTCCGTTGGAAAATCATGCAATTTTAGGAAGTAATAGATAATTTCTCAAAACTATTTTTAAGACAATACTAAGACTGCTGTTGGTTGGCACACTAAACCTCCACTTGATATTACACGCTTCAACTTGTTCACATATGAGTAAGCCTGAAAAGTCAAGTTTTCGAAGAGTACGTAGACATCTGCAAAATCACCACCTCATACAATCTCGCGTTTCATGAAACGAAATTTACGGTGCGTTAATATGTGTACAGAAAGTGTAAGTCCTCTCAAATATCTGAACCAGCTTGCAAAATCCGAGATTCAGGCAAAAAGACATCACTTGATCCTCACTATGAGATACTAATTGTTTTTCAAGTGAGTTTAAATTGTAACAAGTAAATTGCTACAAAAACTTCATCATACAAATTCAGATTTACAAAGTGGAAAACAATCACAGAAACATGTTTCAGTCAAACAGACTGTCTTCTATATATTTCTCTTCAAGACATGCCAATATTACATATTCATTTTGAATTTTATGAACCTGGAAGTCGGATTTAGGCATTAATGCCTCATAAAAAAGTAAAAGAATTCCATTTATGCGCAAAATACAATGAAGTTAGATTATCAATTAGTATGCAAATCATTTGATGGTGAAGATACACATAAAAACTCACAGAAAGACAAAACTTTTCCAGTCTCCCGTCTAAAAGAGTCACTTCTATGTCCACTGAAAGTTCTTGAGTATTTTCCTTTTCTTTCTTATTATCCTGCATTTTGAACAAATAGTCATCTTAAATGATTATGGATCATGTAGCTGGAAAAGTCATTTGTCATAAACATTTTACTCCAATTTGTAAACCCGCCCAGATAAGTCAATGTAATGCAAAGCATTAAAACAAATGGTATCAATGAGATCAATCTCAACAGCTGGATGTTACTATTAGCACTTTTGATTGAAAGTGAACACTGAAATAACAAAGAGATGAATATCTTTGACGTTTAATTTTCAAAAATTCAGAACGGGAGAGAAGACATTGAGCTTAACTTAATAATAATATCTTGGAAATGCAACCTAAATAGATCACTCTTCTTAACAGAATTTCGTACTTGATAGCTTTTCGATCGGAAATATGTCTAGTTTGTCACATTTTTACTCTCTTTTTATGGGTTCTTGTTTGTCCTCATTAGGTGGGCAGTAAACAAATGATAGATCGCGTGGATGCTGTACTTGAACATCCTGAATAAGCACTGGTTCCTGTTGCAGAGATATATACTACAAATTTTGAGAATAGTTTTTCAGACAATTCCTACAAGCAAGACAGGTGTGGTATTCTTGCTTATCTTCCTCTAAAGAGTTAAATAGACACTGGATCGATTTCGACCATGCTTGCAATGTCACCTCTGTGTTTACAGATAAAAATTCAGTGACAAATCCTCCCTAGCTTCTGGTTACATGTAATTAAGTGACAAATGTCTTGAACAACAAATTGCACTCGTCAATCCTATACTGACACAATAAACCCATGGAATTACACACATCCAAATTAATGCTCACTGCTTAATTGGCTGCGGGAACTCTCAGCAGAACGACTGGCACTCGTCTAATCTGACTCCTTCCTTTCTTCTTCAGGACTAATAACAGTACACCTAGATACAACTCATTCACGTTTATACTCCTAAGCCTACAGAAGGCACATCTTTCTGTCTATCTGTAGTCACTTCTACTTGTCTAACTGCCCCATTTTCTTAAGCGATACCCATTGCACTTACTCTAGTGTCTACTGTTTCTTACCAGTAAAGTCCGATAATACGATAACCAGGTCACCAATCTGTACACTCCCTATAGCGTCTGTACATGAGCCTCATTGCTTTAAAAAAGAAACATGTTTTTGTAACATTTCAGATAAACATTTGGCCTTTCACCACTTTTTAGAGAACCCATTCCGGGCTACGTTGATGCCTGTCGGGTTGTCCCATGGTAACATTAGCTCAAAGGGACCTTCTATAATCTCAAGCACGATTCAAATCACACTTTCCCTAACCTCACCCCAACCACCCTCAACTGATAGACTGAAATATCACTCAATATCCCGCCGAAGTAAGACACCATGCATTCTTACCGCACCCTTGTTGTTTCTACAAAGTCATTTTCATTGTCACTAAATATTTCCGTGGTCCATCGTTTCCTGCCGATAAGCCTCAAAAGTGTCTTGGTGGAAGAGCCCGTAAACAGTTTGTGCACCACTTGGATATTGGATATTATGAAGAGGTAACAGGCGTTTATAGGTTCTTCAGAGGGTCGAGTTTAAGCTGGTGACTCTTGTCAACATTCAGGTGCATAACGAGATACATGTAACTAATTGGCTGACTGTCTGATTGACAACAGTCCCAAACAGCGTGTGAACGGTCCATCATCAACTGTTTGAAAGCCATTCGAGAACTGGATCTAAAGGTCCCTATCACGCCTATGTATTTTTTCATTTCAACCTGAATCCACCCTACATAATCTGTGTATTAGTTATTTGGCAGGTAAGATAATCGGGACTGAGAAACCCAACAGGCCACACGGTGAGGGTACAATCGACAACGTACCACACATAGTTGCAGGTTGACTGTATGTTTGAATTTTCTAAACAAAAGAATCCTTATTTGTGTATCAAAACAAATCAAACGTGTGTTCAAAAAGTTGTTTCACCCGGTCCATTGCTTTCACTGTTATAGAAAGTTCTTCAGGTTTGGGGTAATGTCATCTACACAAATAGTTTATTTCTTGTATAAGCTGCAGCTTTCGACATATTGTCATCCAATGAAGACTACGTCAAAATGTGGCTATTTTCGTGTGAAGAACAGTACTATTTTACAAAAGAATGCTATCAGTACATGGGAATCACCTCTTCAGGTTTTATACACTCTGCACTCATTTTTCGAACCTGAAGGTCATTTTACTCATTCAGATCTTAACTTCTCTACTAACCAAAGCTCACGTTTTAGGAAATCCATGGATACCAGGTAGCTATATACACAAGAGGCCAGAGTACACCATCTTTGATATTCAGCATCTAGTTGTTCCTCAAATATCTGCACACATTTAGCTTTTCCTAAATTGTAGGTGGTTTGGCTCTTATTAGTGACACTGCTACCGTAGAAGTCTTGCATATCTTAACGAGGAACATGATTTGATAGCAACTTCCCAACACTTGTACTGTTCAGACTTACTACATCGAGTCGTGAATTCTTCCCAGTAATACCTAATTTTTCAAGTTTTTCTCCCAAACGACAGATGTGTTTGAACCACTTTCGAGATCAACATACGTTTACAAACATCCTTTTGAAACAAATAATTTCACGGGAACCACGCCATAATAAGTTAGCTAAAGTCCCTTATTACTTGCAAAATCTTTGCTGAGCTCGTCACGATGTTCTTACAGTCCAGATGTAGTAACGGCTGTAGTGAACCACAACCACATACACTGCACATCTCACCATAAAAGCAAGATTTATCAGCATAGCTCCATTTATGGCAAACAACAAACAGTCAGGTTCCTGAAACGTTTTTTCGTTGGGATTCACTTCAGGCAGTTTCAGACAATTAATTAGACTGTGAAGACCCTGATGCAAGGGAAAATTCTCATGTTTATTTAGCTTTCTGGCCTTTATGGAATGACTTTTGCGTTATTATATAGATTTCCCTTATCTTTTTTCGAAGTTCCATCTTACTAACATCTCACACGTTCAATCAACTCGTAGCCGTTTTTCTACAAAACTAACTAAATTTCTAAATGAGTTCACTTCTCTCAAAGCAAAGATGAGCCATTTAGCCGAAAACCTGATAGGTTGTGTATGAGTGAACGAGTGACTTTGTGTTGCCCAATAAACAGATTCTGCAGTATCCGCATAGCCATATCATACCAAAAGTCTGCAGGCAGGTGGCTGTCTTCACCTTTTCTTTCCGAAGGCGCGCAAGGCACATCATTTGTTCTGACAACTCGCAACGTTTGGAAACCAAATACAGGCCATTTATCGAACATAAACTCCTTTAGCTGTTGCATATGGCATAAGAATAGCCTCCAATCATTCGGTGACGAAGTACATTCACATTAGTAGGTACGAGTGTCCGTTAGAAAGTAAGAGTAAACGAGCGAATTCCGGGTGAACATGATGCAGTTAGTTCACAGCCATACCCCGTTGCTTAATGTTAGTGGTTTGAGGAACTGCACTGGTGCGTCTTGCAGGGAAAACATCTGCAGGAGGCTAACCTGCGAGAGAGATATATAACATGTCTGGGGAGTTTACTGTAGGCGTAGATGACATGCGGTTCGTGACTGAAAATGCCTTATTTCATTTCCGCTGTGTGCAGTGTCCTGGAAAGTCAAGTAAGATATGTTCAGGTTCACTTCATAAGTTCTTGCAATCCGACTGCCATTGAAGTCCGCATGTACCAACAGAAATGCTGAGTGAAGCTTGACTTCCAAATGTACTAACACTGGGGTTGGTGATGGCCATCTTGGTTTTCTTTGATCCTCCCAGTCTTTTGAAGTGAAGTTTCTCACCTAATTTTTAGCAGATACGTCAGTGCAGTTAAAATATGTTTACTCTGCTGAATAAAACTGTTGCAATAACTTACTATACCTAGAAATGCGCATCAATATCACAGGGGCCTTGACAACGGAATATTTTTGAATCATCTGTACCCTTTAAGTTAGACTTCGAATGCCATATTCATCGATTACCTGTCCCAGGAATATCAGTAAGAGTCAACCAAGCTGACGTGTGGCCAGACTGGCTATAGTGGAATGTTCCTATGGTTTCGTGAAAATATGTTGTAAGTCGTCTCGATAAGTTTCTTCACGTTGGCTATCTATCAGACTGTGGACAAGACATTCATATGTGGAGTCCATTCAATAACAGGCATCATAAGCGAAGGACATGTTCAGAAACTCGAAAAGACTGAAAGGGGTAATGACTAAAGTCTTAAGGACATAATCAAGGTGAACTGGGATCTGATGATAGGCATGTGTTAGGTCAAGTTTACTAAATTCATTTGCGCCTTTCTAGAATGCAATCAGTTTATGCATTCGAGGTACTGGATAACGATCTCAGACCGTTCTATCGTTGAACTGCTGGTAATCCCCATACCATTCTAGGAAACCAGTTATTTAAGTTGCTGGAGAGACCTTAAACTCGCTTATAGCTGGTTTTGATAAGGCATAATGCTCACGATTGATGTGTGGCTATCAACCCTGTTATACCTGAGCTCTAGCCACACTATCACCTGACTTTTTAGTCTGGCCCACTTAAACAGGTGGCCAAGATAGTCTAAGCCACAACTAGTAAAAGGAGAATATAAAACTTACAGATGCCAAAAGGTGTACTTATTGACGACGATTGGCAGAGAGTGTATGAGTAAATAATCACAACACAACAAAGCTACCGAGCTCTTGCCCTTAAAAACTAAATTGACCACCATGCGATTTACTCCGTACAGTTAGACAAATTGATCCTTGACAGTGAAACCACTGGAGAGCAGTTGATTTGACGAACTTCTTAGATCCTCTTCACCATTATTTTTAGGGACCACACATGGCAGTAAAAAGCATGGGCTGTTGAATAACTTGTAAATCACCATCTTCAGTATGTTTTCAGATATTAGCTTTACGGCCTAGATTCTCCTGGAGAACAATGCCACAGTTTGGCGAAGAACCTCCGATCTTTTGTTGCACAATCACGTAACACGTTGAAAGTCACGAAAGTTGCACTTTGGTTAACTTTGTAA